CAAAAACCGTAACAAGTCTCACAATGGAGATGTTACTGGTGCCCGCTTGAGCAACTCGATGAACAACAGGAGGACAGTGCTATACAGTGAAAATCCTGATGTATTATTTTTTTTGCAGTGCTGAGGACAGAATGCAAGGCCTCACATGTGCAAAGTGGCACTACTTCCCCAGCTCAAATACTCCAATTTATTTATTTAGGGTTTGGGGGGTCACACCCAGTGGTGCTCAGGCATCACTCCTGGCAGGGCTTGGGAAGCCATGTGCCATGCTGGGAATCAAACTGGGGTCCCCACGCACGAGGCAAAGTGCCCTCCCCACTGTGCTACCTCTCTGGTTCTCCAACTTAAATGTTGACTTTTTGTCCCAGTTTGATCCCCGGCAGCACATATGGTTCCCTGAGCCCTGCCACGAGAGATCCCTGAGTACAGAGCCAGGAGTAAGCTTTGAGCACTGCCAGTGTGGCAAAAAAGGGGAAAAAAAGAAAAAAATAGAATGGTGGTTGCTGTGGGGATGGGGAGTGTGTGCAGTGAGGGCTGCAGGTGCCACTACCGAACTGTGCACTGAAAGGTGGTTCAGGCTGGAGAGCTCAGTGGGCTGAGCACAAGCCTAGCATGAGGGAGGCCCCAGGTTCCTTCCCTGGCATTGCACAGTGCCCTGAGTTCCACCTGATGTGCTCCAAAGATCAGCCAAGCAGTAACACACTGGGACTCCCACCCCCAGCCCCAGGCCTCCAATTATTGGCCAGCTCCTGTCTAAGCAGCTCCCAGGGGACACTCCCCCCCCCCCCCCATCTGAGTGGGAGGGTTTGCTACAGCACAGGAAGGGCAACTGTGATTTAGCAGCAGACAGAGAACAAGATTTCCTTAGGGGAGGGGGAGATGTTTGATCCCTTCCTTCCCTCCAGGAAAAGGGACAGCAAAGATTTCCCCCCCCCCCCCCCAAATACTGCCAGGAGCAACTCCCAAACACAGAGCCGGGAGTAGCCCCTGTGTACTGCCACATATGGAGGATGGGTGGTCCTGGTTTCCCTCCCCCCAGCACTGCCAGGTATGAACCCTATTTGTTTTTTTGAATTTTTGTGCCATATATGGCCATGCTCAAGGATCACTTGTGTCGGGTTTTGGGGGGTGCTTGGGTCGGCCATGTGCAAGGCAAATACCCTACCTGCTATAATTCTGCCCCGGCCCCATCAAGAATCTTCTTGTATTCCGACAAGGACAGACCTGGCTACAAGCCTTTTCACTGGAGGCACCGAGGTGTGTGTGTGTGTGTGTGTGTGTGTGTGTGTGTGAGCTGCTGGTGGCCATCTCAAAATGATTTGGCTGAAGGTCAGGATGGTTTTCCCAAGGACTAATGCCATGAAGATGTCAACACCTTCAGCAGCTCCTAACTGGAGAGACTATGCTTGAAGCAATTTATGCAGATTTACTTGCTTCATTTTCTTGTTAGTTTTTTTTTTTAGCTTTTTGGGTCACGCCCAGCGATGCTCAGGGGTTACTCCTGGCTCTGCACTTAGGAATCACTCCTGGCGGTGCTGGGGACTATATGAGATGCTGGGGATCGAACCCGGGTTGGCCGCGTCCAAGGCAAACACCTTACCTGCTGTGCTATGGCTCTGGCCCCTTGTTAGTATCTTTTTACCAATGAGGAAATGGTGGTGATGAGAGGGGAAGTCCCTTGCTCGGGGCCACAGAGCTGGAAAGTGGGGAGAACTTTCCAGGCTTTTATTTTTATTATTTTTATTTATTTTTTAATCTCTTTTTGTTTGTTTGTTTTTGTTTTTGGGTCACACCCAGCGCTCCACAGGGGTTACTCCTGATTCTGCAGTCAGGACTTACTCCTGGCGGTGCTCAGTGGACCATATGGGATGCTGGGAATCAAACTTGGGTTGGTCGCATGCAAGGCAAACGCCCTACACGCTGTGCTATTGCTCCAGCCCCTATTTATTTATTTATGAAATTACACAGTTTTTATTTGGAGGTTTTGAAGGGAAGGAGGGAGAGAAGGTGAGAGAGAGCAGAGAGCCCAAAAGAGAGCCCAGGCTTCTCTAAGGGCAGAGAGAGCCCTACATACATCCCAGCATTAGACATGAAAACATGAAAGTACACATCTCAAGAGGGGAGATGCGAGCTACACGTGTGCTCAGGCAGCATATGCGCCCTTTCCAGGCTTTTAATAAGAATGTTGGATCAGGATCTGGAGTGATAGTACAACAGGGAGGGTATATGCCTTGCATGCGGTCACCTGGGTTCAATTCCTGGCATCCCATATGGTACCCTGGAGCTCTGCCAGAAGTGATCCCTGAGCACAGAGCCAGGAGTAAGCTCTGAACACTGCCAGATGTGGCACGAAAACAAAAATAAAAATGTTGGGTCACACTTGATGGTACTCAGGAATCATTCCTGGAGGGGAGTCAGGGATCCTAAACAGTGATGAGATCAAACCTGTGTCAGCCGTGTGCAACCCAAGGACCCTACCCACTACACTATCTCTTAGGCTGGAGAGGGGGCAGGCACGATTTGACTTAAGCAGCTGTTGTTCAGGAACAGACAGAGCAATAGCATCATGACTTAGCATACCTGCCTCGCAAGCATACAATCCTAAGTTCAAATCCCTGGTGCCCCACATGTGCCAAGTGCAGCCCTGGCACCTTTGCTGTCTGCAATTCCTGGTCCCACAAGCAATTTCTGCAGCCAGGTGCACAGAAGACCCCAAAGAGGTTCTACCCCCCTCATCTAAAACGATGTGTGAGCACTGTGACCAGGAAGTATGACCCTGGGTGAACAGCTAGCTCTGTTGTGCCTCTACAAAGAAATTCCCAGGGAACACAAGTGCAAGCATCACAGCTCAAGAAGGTGCAATCCAGGGCTGGAGCAACAGCACAGCGGGTAGGGCATTTGCCTTGCATGCGGACAACCCAGGTTCGAGTCCCAGCATCCCATATGGTCCCCCAAGCACTGCCAGGAGTAATTCCTGAGTGCAGAGCCAGGAATGACCCCTGTGCATCGCCAGGTGTGACCCAAAAAGCAAAAAAAGAAGGTGTAATCCTTGATGAGCACTGGGGCCAGAAGTGTGAGCTCCATGGCCCGTGTGCAGAGTTGGTGGGCAGCCCGCTGGACACAGCCAAGAAGATGCCCTGGCACCCTCACAGTGGGGGCAGCAATCAAGAGAAAGGGAAAGGGGCGGGAAGGGAACCTGAACACAAAACCTAAACAGAAATGCTGGTTTGAGAGCCACGATTTAGACCCATAAGCGACAGCTTCTCTCTGGTCCTCAGAGATGCCTTCAAATCCCAATTTGGCACAGGAGTTAATTAAGAAAGAGATGAATTGAGTGCACGCTGTCACTCAGACCTGCCGTGGGCCCTAGGGAGGAAGCAGTCTGTAGCACAGGCTCTCCGGAGGGGCCACACCAGACACCAGCCAGCCGGCCAGCGTCAGTCTGCCACAGCGAAGAGCATTGGGAAAGGAGAAGGTGGCTCAAACAAGCTCTGCATTGGCCCTTCGGGCCCCGCAAACCCACAAAAGTGGACCCAGGTTCACTTAGGGCATGGGCTTAGCTGGGTCTGAGTTAAGATGGGGCTCAAGCTTCAGCAGCCACACCTGTAATCACCAAAACGAGCGCTCTGTGGGGCAAAGCCCCAGCAGCTTCTCTGAACGCTGGAGACATGAAGGGACTTCTTTTTATTTTTTTGTTTTTGGGCCACACCGGTGGTGCTCTGCACTTAGGAATCACGCCAGTGGGCTGAGGAGACCATCTGGGGTGCCGGGAATCGAACCTCCCCAGTGGCTAGCGCTTTGGCCTCACTGAGGGATTTCTTACCTCCTAGGGAACTGGCTGGTGGAGCTCCGGGGATCTGTTTCCAGCCCAGATCAGCTGCAGGGCTGAGAAATGAGAACCAGAAAAGACCCAATCAGCCCATTTTGCACAATCCAGCACAATGGGCGCTGACCTACAAAACGGGGGACTAGAAGGCTCAAGCGCTGTGACTCTGGAAATCCTAGAAACTCCTACCCCCCGACCCCTCCAGGCTCAGACATGTGAGAAAAGGTTGTCAGTTCACCTCAAACCGCCCCTCAGTGTCCAGAAAGGCGGGGCTGTGACAGCAGTGGTTACCATGGCAATCCTGCCTGAGACACACTCCACCCTCAGACACCAGCCTGCCCACCCCCTGCCTTGGTGGGCGGCCTCCCAGGGTCATGGCAAGGGGGTCTGCCCCCATTGCCATAGAAACCGGAGCTTGGCCTTGCCTTGCTTCCCTGAGGATGGTCCAGGCCCTGTATCCATAGCAACCGTCCTTTAGCAGAGCATCTCCTCTAAAGAAAGACACCTGGCTGGTTTGTTCCCTTGCCCTCCCCGATGGGAAAGGGGGAGATGGTAACCATGGCAATGCTGCCGGGAAGGAGAGGAGGGGGGGCGAGGAAAGCGGGTTTTCCTTATGACCCCTATCCTTGGTGGCAGTGGGGTGTTGGGGAGGTGTATCCTTTCTACCTGAGGCTAGGTGAGATTGCCATGGTAACCAGTGGGGGACTTGGGTTACCTTAGCAACCTCTTCCTGGTGCAGGGACCAGGGGTTTAGGGGTTCCATCAACCACAAAGGGGTGAGGGGAGGCTAGGGTAAGGTTACCATGACAACCGAGCGGGTGCGCCAGGAATCAGAGAAGCCTGCCCACCCGCCTCCCCCCCCACCTCCCTTCGGAGGTCGCCCTTTCTCTCCAGGAGTGACAGGACTCGCCAGCGGAGGGTCAGGAATTTCCCTGTGGGGCGGCACAGGTGGAGCAGGAGCGCAGGTCCTCCCGAAGTCCCCGCCGCGCCGGCCTCGGGTCTGGGGTGCCCGGTGGGGGGCGCACCCCCCATCCCAGCGCGCGCCTGGGTAGCCCCCGGGTGGGCGGGGCGCGCGCCCCGCCCCCGCCCCGCAGGCCCCGCCCCGCCCCGCCGGGCGCGCGCGTGGGGGGTGCGGAGCGGCCGCGCAGGCGCGCGAGGCTCAGCGGCGCGCGGGCCGGCCCGGGCCTCCATGATGGAGGAGCGAGCGGCCGCCGCGGTCGCCGCCGCCGCCACCTCCTGCCGCCCGCTCGGCCCCGCCGCGGGTCCCGGCCCCACGGGTGCGGCTCCCCTCGCCGCGCCGGCCCCCGGCCCCGGCCCCGGCCCCGGCCCGGCCGTCAAAGGCGGCGGCGGCGGCGGCAGCCCCGGGCCCCCGGCGGGGCCCGAGCCCCTGAGCCTGCCCGGGATCCTCCACTTCATCCAGCACGAGTGGGCGCGCTTCGAGTCCGAGAAGGCCCGCTGGGAGGCCGAGCGCGCCGAGCTGCAGGTGAGCGGCGCCCCGGGACCCCCCGGCCCCCCGCCCGGCCCGGCCCGGCCTCACCCGCCGCCGCCGCCGCCGCCATCTTGGAGCAATGGCCGCCGGGACGGCCGCGGGGGGCGGGAGCCGGGGCCGGGAGCACTGGGGCGGGAGCAGCGGGCCCGGAGCACCGGGCCGGGAGCCCCGCGGGCGGCGCAGGGGAGGGTGGGAGGGAGCCTCGGCTGCGGGCGGGAAGAGGGGGTGTGGGGGGCTCGCGGGGACGGGAATTTGGGCCCCGCCCGGGGGTCCCGCCTGGGCTCGACGCCGGGGCTGTGTGCTGCGCCGCGTCGGTGAGAAAAGGTGGAGGGGACGACAGGGGGGCTTCCCGCTGACAAGGAAACTTGGGAGAAAGCCCCGGCAGCCTGCCGAGTGCAGGGGGCGTCGCCGGAGTGTGTGTCGGGGGGTCTGCACGGGGCCAGCCAGACGCCCATCCCGGGGAGGAGGAGCTGGAGAAAGGAAACTCCAGTTTGTGGGGGGACACGGGCATTGGGGCGCGGCCCGGGACGGAGGTGCGTGCGGGGTGTCAGGTGGGAGATGCCTGAGCCCGACAGGTTGGGGGCAGGGGGCTTGGGCTTGGACACGAGGGAACCTAGAAGAGGGAGAGTGAGGGGAGCGTTTTGGGGGGCATTGGTAGAAGGGGAGGATGTAGGAGCAGGCACTTCAGGGGGACCCTGGGGGATGCACTTTTTTGGGGGGGACCCCATGGTGTGGGGCAGCTGGGGAGAGAGATGTGCCCTGGGGTGCTGTTGGGAAGAGCCTGAGAACTTGAAGAGAAGGACTGAGGGGTGTGGGGAGGGGAGGCACAGGACCAGAAGTTGTGCCCCCCCCTCCCCTTCTGGCTTGGAGGAGCGGCTGGCTGAGGCGGGACTTGAGTAAAGAGCCGGCGAGAAATTGGTTTATGGGATGCATGACGAGAGCAACCCTCCCTCCCATTCTTTCACACCCGCACAGTACTGGGGGGTTGGGGTGGGAGCCCTTACGTAAGTGCCCCTTCCCAGCCTGCCATCAGCTCCTGCATGCCAGACCTTTGTCCTTGTCCATGGGAATGGTGGTGCCATTTATTGAGCAGTTATTACATGCCAGGAGCACTAAGGTAGCACCCAGTGGGGCCCGCCTGCCTTCAATCCTGGCAACATTCTGGAAGGGGGAACCGTCCCCTCTCCCTCGCCTTCTTGAATAACTAGAGAGATAGAAGTGGAGGACTCCAGTGATCACTGGTGGGGTTCAGGGGTTGGTGTGGGTGCTGTGGGCAGCTTGTCCCCCACTGCATGCCCCTTGGCTGGCACAGATGTTCCCAGGAAGCGGCAGCCTCAGCTCATCCAGGTTGTCACACCAGATCAGGCAATCAAGTTCATGGGGGTGCTCCTGGTTACTCCAGGATCACTCCTGATAGGGCTCAGGCGACCCTCTAGGATGCTGGGGATTGAACCCAGGTCGGTCACATTCAAGGCAAGTGCCCTCCCTACTGTGCTCTCTCTAGCCCCTATTACTATTCTTTTTATAGTGCCAGGAATCAAGCCCAGGGCCTCAAGCATGTGAGGCAGGTGCCTTCCGGCTGAGCCCCTTTCCTACCTGGAGCACGTCCAGCCGCCTGGGCGTGGCCCTGCCTGCCAGTGCCCTCACCCCAGCCATCACGGAGCCTTCCCTGAGAGGCTGTATCAGGTCCCAGCTGTGCTGCTTCTCTCTCCGGGGGCCCTGCTCTTACCCTGAGAGGAGCTGGTGCAGGGGGCACCCACATGGCCCCTCTCTGTGCTTAGCCTGTCAAGATTCCAGGCCCATAACCTGGGCATGGCTGTTCCTGGGGGTGAATTTCTGGTTCCCCGGGATCCCCAGTGTGTAGGAGTGAGGAGAGAATGATGCCCCATGAGGCCCCCTGTTGTGCCGTTATCTCACACATGCCCACACACCCAGACCCCTGGCCAGCATTCTGTGCCCGCTGCCCAGGGCCTGTGTCTGGCCACGCCTCCCCTAGCAGCCCCAGGCACTCTTGCTGCCATTGAGAAGCTGCTTTCACGGCAGGCAGGCAGCACTGCTGGGGACATGGGGTGGGGGGACTCTCCCAATGCACATGTGCCCTGGCTTTTCCCGTCAGGGAGGCGCCTTGTCCTGTGTGAGTGGAGAGCGAAGGAGAGGCTGATGATGGTTTTTCATTGTTTTTTTTTGTTTGTTTGTTCTTGGGGGCCACACGGCGGTGCTTGGGTTACTCCTACACTCAGGGATCACCCCTTGCGGAAGTTGGGGACCGTATGGATGCCAGGGATTGAACCTGTGTTGGCCACATGTAAGGCAAGCGCTGGGCTTGCTGTACCATCTTCCTTACCCCCAGGAGAGACTGATGGTAGGATTAGCTGCACCAGGGCCCCCCACTTTATCCCCCTCACCCTACACCTCCTTTCCCAGAGCATTGCCCGAATTTTTCAAGTTTGTCGCTCATGAGATGCGACATGACCTGTGAGATCTGCTGCGCCCCACCCCGGGCCGGGCTGTTCTGGTGAACCCTCAGCCCCCCGGCTTTGGGGACCCTGCCAGGAGGCAGCCAGGATTGGAGTGGGGTGGAATAAGCAGGCTGGAGACAGTTTGGGGAGTGTCCCAGAAGTGGACGCTGCGGTGACAGAAATTCCCTGGGCAGAGAGCAGGCCCTGCAGATCTTGCACAGACAGTGGGGTTCAGGGGGACCTCCCTGGGGCCCAGGGGAGCCTGGGGGGAGGGGGTCAGGGTCCTGCCCGGCACATTCCTGACAGAGGAGTGGCAGGGAGAGGTGGGGAGCATAGTGACTGCAAAAGAGGGGCTAGCTGTCCCCTCCCACTTCCAGTCTCGCCGGGGTATTAGGAGCATCCCTGGCAGGTGGCATGGAACTTGAGAAAGGGGGGGTGGGCACCAGATGGGCTCACGTGGGGAGCCCGAGGGGAGGCCACAGTGGCTCCCCGTGGTGCATGTTAGGAAGTGTGTGGCTCTGCCCAGCCTGGCCAGTGGTGTCTGGTGGGGACAGTTGTGAGGGGCTGGAGGCGCCTCCACTTCCCCTTTCAGCAGGGTCCACAGACCACCGAGCCCTGAGTGGCTGCTTCTCTGTTCCTCTTGAGGAGCACCAGGAGAGGGGACAGTGGGGCACAGAGGGCTGGAGAGTCTGTCACCATCGGGAGCAGGGAAGCCCGGGTGGTGGTGGGAGCTGGGGTTGGCCCCGCTTTGCCCCCCAGACCCAGAGGCTCACTCAGATGTGCTTGGTGCCATGCAGCTGCCGCTGCCGCTCTTGCTGGGGCTCCGGGACTTGCTCCGCCATCACCTCTGCCCCCCGTGTTGAGGCTGGGTGCTGGAGGACACAGGGCTGGTGACGGCGCCTCTCAGCTCTGCGTGCAGGAGGAGGGTGTGCTGCTGCCACCGCGTCCCCCTCTGGCAGCCGGTGTCCCTCCCCCACAGGCCCGGCCCACGGCCCTGGGGTCCTGTCACCATGATCACTGAACTCTGGTTTCTTGGGTGACTGAGGGGAGATGCCGCAGGTGGAGATTCAGACGCCAGAGGTGTTATTCTCCTGTCAGCCTGCAGCTGTGGGGTCCAACCCAGGGCCTTGCACTTGGGCTGCCTGTGTGAGTGGTGCTGACAGGCCCGACCCTTCTCGGAGGCAGGTCTCGTGCAGCACTGGCTCTTGTGGGCCGCAGTCCCGAGCCCCTTCGACCTGAGTGCTTATTCAGGGTGCTTCCTCCCGCAGCCAGTAACCCATGGAGAAGTGCACAGGGTCCTGCTGACCTGCTGGCTGGAGGAGGGTGTCGCGCCTGAGGTGGGGTCGGAGGTTGCCTGTCCCTAATCTCTGACCCATCTAGGCCTTCCCTGGTGTGCTGGGTTTTCTGCTGGCCCCTGGGTCAGGGCAGAGAGGGCAGTGGGGGCAGGGCAGAGAGGGCAGTGGGGGCAGCCTTGAGCTTCACCCCTCGCTGAGTGCAGCTGGACACTGGCTCTGGGAAGGCATGGGATCCCCTGCAGCCCCAGACCGCCCTCCAACAATAGTTCTGGGCGGCTTACGCCTGTGGGTGGCTGACATGACATGGTAGCAGCGGCCCTGGGTTGTCAAGACTTCCCGGGCTGCAGGGGCCCCACTGTGGGGGTCGGGGCAAGGCGCTGATGGAGCCACCTGCCGGCCGCCCACTGTGTCCCAGAGTGCCAGAAGTTGCTTCCCACGCGCAGTTCTCCAGAGACACGTGCTCAGAGCAGAGCGCCCACACCTGCCTGCCACCCCCTGCCCGCCGCCATCAGGGGCTTCACGCCATGCGGGTGAGGGGACCCTGTGGGCCTGATGCTCTCTGCTGTGCCCCCTCCACAGGCTCAGGTCGCCTTCCTGCAGGGGGAGAGGAAGGGGCAGGAGAACCTGAAGACGGACTTGGTGAGGCGGATCAAGATGCTGGAGTATGCACTGAAACAGGAGAGGTGGGTGCCAGGCGCGGCAGGGTGGGGGTAGGCAGCCTGGGGGGCTGCTCCAGGTCCCCAAGGTGACCTAGTCCCCTCCCTCGGGGTGGTTTCCTGTTGGGGGCAGCTGAACTGAGGAGGAAGGGGAGGCCCTGGTGTCGTGTGAGTGCTGTCCGCCTCTCCCCCCCTAGCTCCGCCTCCATTACACTTGTTCTTTCAGGGCCAAATACCATAAACTGAAGTTTGGAACGGACCTGAACCAGGGGGAGAAGAAGCCGGAGCTCTCGGAGCCAGGTGTCCCCTCAGCCCTTGGCAGGGGCTTGTCCCACCGGTGCCCTGCAGACAGGATGGGGGTGGGGGCGGTGAAGGACACTCCTGAGACAGAAGGCCCTGGGGAGGGGTGCATGGTGGTATGGGCTGGGGCTGCCGGGCTGGGGAGGGCTCCAGGCCAGGTGTGCAGCCATGGGGAGGGCTCCAGGCCAGGTGTGCCCGGGAGGGGAGGCGGCTGGGACAGGCCCCAGTCTATGACAGGTCACTGCACACCCGAGCAGTGGGCAGCGGGGAGGCCAAAGGAGGGTTCAGAAGCCTCCCAGGAAGGCACTGCGCCTGCCTGACTGGGACAGGGCCAGGCTGCCAGTCTGACACCCTGTCTCTGTCCTGCAGTCTCCAATGGCCCCGTGGAGTCCGTTACTCTGGAGAACAGCCCGCTGGTGTGGAAGGAGGGGCGGCAGCTCCTGCGACAGTGAGTGGGGACCTGTGGGCCAGAGGGCAGTTTGGACACATGGATGGATGGGGACACACACACACACACACACACACACACACACACACATACACTGGAGGGCAGCTTGGATACACGGATGGGGACACGCATGCGTGCGCGCACACACACACGGCAAGTGTCTCAGGGAGACTTGGGAAGCCCAGGGAAGCTTACAGAAATACTCAGAAGCACCATCAAGCCTCCCTCCCAGGGTTTCTGACCCCTGGAACTTTTCTGGCACCTCTGATTGGTTCCCCCAAGGGTCAGTGTGTGTGGGGGGACTCCTTCCCAAGATTAGGTCTCAGGGTCAGGACAGTGCTGTTGTTCAGGGCCGTGCCCACTGCCTGTATAGCTGAGTTGGGCTATGTCACGGGAACCTCAGCCCTGCCTGGGTTTTCCTGTGCACGGCCCCCTTACAAGGATGCGAGTGCCCCCTAGGGTGTGAGCCAGTGACCCTGGTCTATATGCCCACAACCCTTGGGGGTGTGCTGCCTCAGTTTCCCCAGATGACACACAGATACAGAAGGCAGGGGGGTGTCACACAGTGACTGTGGTCGCAGATAGGTCACACCAGACCTATATCCCGGCTGCCCCTCAGCGGGCTTTGTGGTTGTCTGCTGGGATGTAGGACGGCGCCCAGGGCACTGGGGTAGGGCAGCTATGCAGATCCAGGAAGCCCTGAGGGAGTGGGCCCCCTCCCTGGACCTTTGGGGCCACCCTGTGTGAGGTGTCTGCTCGAGGGTGTGTTCCCGGCCCAGCTGGCTGAGCCTTCCAAACTGCAGGGGTAATAGGGGCGGGCAGGAGACAGCCCGGCTCCATTCTAGCAGCCCCCACGCTGCCCGAGAACCAGGAGTGACCCTCGAGCATCATAGGATGTGGCCAAGAAAAGAAGCAACAGGGGCTAGAAGGTGCTTCAAGAACTTGCAGGGCTCGAACCCAGGGCTGTGCACACTCTGTCATGGTCAGGACTTTCCTGCTGACTGGGAGGCCCGTTGGCTCCGTGAACAGGCATGCTGCCTACTCTGAGGCGGCTCTCATGCCCCATGCCTGGGCTCGCTCAGGGCTGCTGGGTCCCCCAGTACTGCCTGAGCAAAGGTGGTGCATGGTGTTCTGGAACCCCGTCTGTGGTTTCTGCTCCTTGCTTGAAGGTGGGGTGTCCTTACTGACTTATTACTGTCTTGAGCCGCACCTGGTGATGTTCAGGGCCTGCCCTGGGCTCAGTGCTCCAGGGTAACTGCTGGGGTGATGCGCCCCAGCCAGCCAGGTGAGTTCCCAGGCCTCCACTCTGTGTCTGAACCAGCATTTGAGGGGCCAGAGGGACAGAACAGGGTCACGGGGCTCGCCTTGCTTCGGCCAGCCGCGGCTCAGACCCCAGCACCACAGAGGGTCCCTCCAAGCACTGCCAGGAGTGATCCCTGAGTGCCCCCAGCATGCCCCCCAAATCAGTAGAAAACAAGCACTGTATATGGGCAACACTTCGTCTTCCTGGAGCTAGACTACCCTGGTGGCCTGGTCGTCAAGGGTGGTCTTGTGCCTCGGTTTCTTCCCCACCACCCGCTGCTTGGCCCCTGCACAAGAAGTCTGGAAACAGATGATTTGGGACATGCCTGTCCAAGGCGTTGGTCACACCAGGCTGCTGCTCTGGCAAGACTGCCGCGGCCGCGCTGACCCTCTGCTCTGCCCACAGGTACCTGGAGGAGGTGGGCTACACTGACACCATCCTGGACATGCGCTGCAAGCGAGTACGTTCCCTGCTGGGCCGCACCCCGGAGCCCACTGAAGGGGGCCCCCGAGCCACGCCTGGCCCTGGGGCGCTGAGTGGCGGGGAGTCCCTGCTGGTGAAACAGATTGAGGAGCAGATCAAGAGGTGAGGCATGGCGAGCTCTGGTGAGCAGGCACGGGTTGGTGCTGGGATATGTCCGGGGTGGTGAGGGGGAGGACGTGGAGGGGAAGGGCCAAGGGAGACTCGGGGCCATTCTTGAGTTGGGCCAGCTGTGGTGTGAGCAGGCCCAGTGGGGGCCTCAAGGCAGGACTGACGCCCCCTCCCTGTCGGGGCAGGAACGCGGCGGGCAAGGACGGCAGGGAGCGCAGGGCCGGCTCAGTGCTGGAGCAGGTCCCCTTCCTGCAGAGCTGCGAGGATGAGGACAGCGATGAGGATGATGAGCTGGACAGTGGACAGCACAAGAAACAGCGCGTGAAGGTGCGCGTGGGGCCCCGGGCTGCGGCGTCATGCGTCTGCTCCACCCACGCAGCTGTATGGGCTTCATCTCCTGTTTGATGAGCCTGCAGGGCCCCCCAACCCCACCCCTTGGGTCATTTCTGGTGACCTGGGTTCTGCACCCCCAGGGGCTTGCAGCACCCCATAAATATTGACAGTTGGGATGCATGAGATGCCAGCCTGTTGCGTATCTCAGTTTGTGCACGGGCCTGTTCCCCACTGGTGTTGGGCCACTGCCCACCGGGTGACTTCCTGTGCCCCCCCTAACTTGGTCATCATCCGTGTGCATTCTGCCTGGCCTGCTCCTGCACTCAGCCCCCCCACCCCTTTTCCTTCCTGCCGACCCCACTGGCTGGGCAGAAGCTGGGGGTGGAGGAAGAGGAAACCGCCTTACTGGGGCCAACTCCCCTGCCCGGGAAGGCGCAGTCCCAGGAGCCTCCAGCAGGGGTAGCACCCTTTAGGAAGGGGCTGGTGGGACCCTGGTGAGTGTCCCCTGAGCCTGGCAAACGCCCCCTGACTTGGTGGGTTTCCTCTACACCACAGCTGCCGTCTAAGGCCTTGGTGCCTGAGATGGAGGATGAGGATGAAGAAGACGACTCAGAGGATGCCATCAACGAATTTGACTTCCTGGGCTCAGGAGAGGATGGAGAGGGCCCGGCCGATCCGCGGCGTTGCACAGGGGACGGCAGCCACCATGAGCTGGGTGAGAGTGGGTGCTTGTGGCTACTCACAGCCACACAGCCATCTGCAGCTGCTTCCTGCCCCAGTTCCCCACCGGACGGACACGCTTCCTGAGCTGAGTGGCCTGCGCGGCACGTCCAACTCCTTGCCCAGGAAAATCCCGGGGGATGCACAGGGGCCCCCTCTTCCTGCAGCAGGGCCTCCAGGCTTGCAGAGACTGCTGTTTGCGGGCCTGGGAGGGGCAGGGTGAGCTCCAGGGAGGGCAGGGGCAGGGGCAGAGGGTGCCTTCCTCCCGCCCAAGTCACTGAGCTGTGAGGGCCACGGTCATGTGGCAGCTGGGCCCAAATCCCTGGCAGGAGAGCGCCTGGCTCCCTCCCTAGCTAGGGGGGCCACACTGTCTCTCACTCCCACCCCTTCCCGTTGTGGCTTCTGCTGCGGCAGCTCACTCAGGCCTGGGCCTTGCCCCTGCAGAAAGCCGGCGGGTCAAACTCCAGGGAATTCTGGCCGACCTGCGGGATGTGGATGGACTGCCCCCCAAAGTGACAGGCCCACCCCCCGGCACACCCCAACCCCGGCCGCATGAAGGTATGAAGCTCCCCCAACCCTAGGCCCTGTCCCCAAGGGTTAGCAGAGGGGAGGTCAGTGAGACACTCGGCCTGCGGCCTCCCTGTCCTGTCTGTCTGTCTCTGTCTCCCTTTCTCTGTCTGGCCTGCCCTGTCCGTCTGTCTCCCTGTCTCTTTCCAGCCGAGATTCTTGATCTTGTCCTCTCCGGCCCCCTTTCTCCCTCCCTCCTCCTCTCCCCGCCTGTCTACCCCCCATTCCGCCCTCCCTCCCCCCACCAGGGTGCTTTGGCTTCTCCCCAGACGTCTTCATCATGGACACTATCGGGGGCGGGGAGGTGAGCCTGGGGGACTTGGCGGATCTCACCGTCAGCAACGACAACGACCTCAGCTGTGATGTAAGTGCATGAGGGTGGGCTGAGCTGTGAGCCAGCAGGCACAGCCCCTTCTGGAGGCCTGGGGGCCTATTTGAGGGGTCCAGACTCCACGGGCTCCTCTCCTATCAGTGGTGTTGGGCTCATACTGGGTCCCTCAGAGCTGAGGCACCGTTCACCAGGGGGCGCCCTTCCCCGCCCGGCCCCACCTCCTGCTCTAGGGCCCCTCTGCCCGGGCCACTCTCAGGCCACCCCACCATGTGGCCCCTGCACTTCAGTCCTGCCCGGGTCCCCCAGAATCTCACACAGCTCCCGCAGCTCCCGGCATGGGCCTGGGAGGAAGCACAGGGAAGAGTTCCAGGTCAGGGGGCCCTCGAGCCTGGTGGGGATGGCACAGACACCCCCCTTCAGGCAGTGCGTTCCCCCGCCCACAGCTGTCCGACAGCAAAGACGCCTTTAAGAAGACCTGGAACCCCAAGTTCACACTGCGCTCACACTACGACGGCATCCGCGCACTGGCCTTCCACCACAGCCAGTCGGCGCTGCTTACGGCCTCCGAGGATGGCACACTCAAGCTCTGGAACCTGCAGAAGGCGGCTGCTGCCAAGAAGTGAGGGGCCTGGGCCTGGCGGGCGGGGGGCGGTGGTGCAGCAGGGAGGGCAGGGCTGGCTGACTGTCCCTCTCCCCCAGGAATGCCGCGCTGGACGTGGAGCCCATCCATGCCTTCCGGGCCCACAGGTAGGGGGCTGACGCTCTGTGGACTCATGACCTGCAGTTTTGGGGCCCCTTTGCCTGTTGGGAGAAAGAGATGCTGGAGCTGCCCTGTGCCCACAGGGGCCCGGTGCTGGCCGTGACCATGGGCAGCGGCAGTGAGTGCTGTTACAGTGGTGGTGCTGATGCCTGCATCCGCAGCTGGAAGATTCCGGACCTCAACATGGACCCCTATGACGGCTATGGTAAGCGGCGGCACTTGCTGTGCTGCGTCAGAGGCTCCTGCTCCTTGCAGCCTGCCCTGAGGAGACCAGGGAGTTGCTCGGGAAGCAGGAGGCCAGGGAATTTCCCAGGCTGGAGGCCGAGGGCTCCGGCTCTGATGCCTAGTCCCCCTCAGACCCCAGCGTGCTGAGCCATGTCCTGGAAGGCCACGGGGACGCCGTGTGGGGCCTGGCATTCAGTGGCGCCTCCCAGCGCCTGGCATCCTGCTCGGCCGACGGCACCGTCCGCATCTGGGACCCCAGTGGGAACAGCCCCTCCTGCCTCTGCACCTTCCCCGCAGCCAGTGGTGAGTGCAGGGTCAGGGCTGGGGCGGGGAGGACTCTGGCCCCGGTCCCCAGAGCCCAACTCCAGCCTCCCCTCCCTCCCACCCACAGACCACGGCACCCCCACCTCAGTGGCCTTCGCCAGCACCCAGCCTGCCCATGTCGTGGCGTCTTTCCGCTCGGGCGATGCCGTGCTCTACGACCTGGAGTCGGCCAGTGCCCTGCTCACGCTCGAGTCCCGTGGCAGCAGTGGTGAGGAGTGCGGGCATGCCGGGCCTCAGACCCTTACCCCATCATCTGCGTCCCCTTTGACCTGTGCCCCCCACCCTCCAGGCCCGATGCAGATCAACCAAGTGGTGAGTCACCCCAGCGAGCCCCTCACCATCACCGCCCATGATGACAGAGGCATCCGCTTCCTGGACAACCGGACCGGTGAGCCCCCCACGCCTCCCCACCCCTGTCCCTGCTGTCCTCCACTTGGCCGGGACTAACTCCCCCCACCCCACCCCCAGGGAAAGCCGTCCACTCCATGGTGGCCCACCTGGATGCCGTCAGCTGCCTGGCCGTGGACCCCAATGGCGTGTTCCTGCTGTCGGGGAGTAAGTGGGCTAGTGGGCATTTCAGAGATGGGTAGCCGGGCAGTGAGCCACCGTTTCCGGGTGTCCATCCCCTTCTTCCCGCCGGCATTCCCCTCTCTCAGGCCCCAGGGCTTAGAGGCAGGCTGGACGCACCCTGGGCCAGCATAAGGGACAAATGCCCCCCCAGGCAGCCAGACTCGACTCTGCAGTGCTCAGGGTTCTGGCCGGGGCAGGAGGGGACCTGGGCAGTGGCAGAGCAGAGGGTAACCGATGCCGCCCCCAGGCCACGACTGCTCCCTGCGCCTGTGGAGCCTGGACAACAAGACATGCGTGCAGGAGATCACGGCACACCGCAAGAAGCACGAGGAAGCCATCCACGCCGTGGCCTGCCACCCCAGCAAGGCCCTCATCGCCAGCGCGGGCGCCGATGCCCTGGCCAAGGTCTTCATCTGATGACTGCCTGGCCCTGCCCTGGCCGCCAGGCAGGCTGTTGGCCAGGGAGCAGGGCCGGGCCAGGGGCCTGAGGTGAGAGTGCAACCTCCTCCTGTTCCTGTACTCCCAGAGGGTGGCCTCGGGCCCTGTGCCACCTGCACGCAGGCTCTGATGCAGTGTCCCTGCCTTTCTGTCTGTGCAGGTGACTCCGGCTTCCATGCGCCAGCCTGGGCCTGGAGGTGCTAAGGGCCAATCCCCCTGGCCTGCCCGTCTCCAGCAGGAAGCCTGGGAGCTCCCTGTCTGTGCTAGACCCTGACTCGGGTTCTGGGCTGCCTTCCCGGGGCAGCACAGCCAAGGCTGGGTGTCCTTGGGGATCCGTCAGCTTTTCCAAGACGCCAGAAGGTGCCAGTTTCTCTTTGAACCCCAGCTCTCCTCCACCCTCTTGGACCTGGGTGGGAGCTGTGCTGGGCAGAGCCCAGATGCCTGTTTGGGGTCCACTGGGGAGCCACGGAGCCAGCCGGGTGCCAGGAGGGCCCATCACTGGGCAGCCCTCCGCCCCTCGACACAGCTTTCTTGACACTACCCGGTGCCTCCGGGCCAGCAGCTGCTGGGGGAGCGGCCAGTGCTCGGGGGGCGCCACCTTGGCTCCCCCAGGGCATAGAGGGTGGAGGGGGGTCCCAGGCCCCTGCCTCCCTGTATATCTGTATAAATAAACGGGATTTTAATGGAGCCCCCTCCCCCATGTTATCACTGTGTGATAGTCCGTCCTTTCCTGGCCTCCACTCTGCCTCTATTTATTTCATTCTTTTGGGGTTCCACCCTGTGCCCTTGGGCCCCCCTTCCTGGTTCCTGTTTATAAGCCCTAGCCCCTGGATTGTACGTGAAACTTGTCTCAATAAACCCTTTGGAGTAAGATGGTGCCCAGCCGTGCTGATTGGGGGGCCCAAAAGAGGGGGTGGGGTGGTCCCAGTTTTGCCTGTGGAGAGTGGGCATTTGAGGGGCTGGTTCTATGGTAAGGTATCAGGGGCCCTCATGCTGGCAGGGTGTGGATGGGAGGGCGGAAGTGGGGGCACAGGACCGAATCTCCACATGCCCTTCCTCCCTGGCCCTAAGCATCCCCAGGGACCGCCCCCACACTCGGGGCTGTGAAGTGATTTGGCCTTGGCCCGTCACCGCCAAGGGCTGGACCCTTGGCCTGTCACCCCTTTGGGCTACTTTCCAAGTCTTCAGGCCCCTCAGAAGTAAGTGGTGTCACCTACATATCCCAGGGCCTGTGCTGTTCTCCCCAACACCTGCCCCAACTCCCCCATTCCTGTGGAAGGGGCCAGCTCCTGGCGTGAGGTGGCACCTCACCTCAGGTCATCCCACCTCAGGAGAAGGTGGAGGGGGGCAGGGGGCTGCTGGATAACGGTGCCTGGCCAGTAGCCACTCACCCTGCAAAGCCCCAGGGCTCTGAGCAGCTTCCCCAGGTGGGCTTCGGGTTTTCTCTACAGCCTCAGACTTCCTTCCCGCCCAGCAGCCCCCGGATGTGGTGACGGAATTGTTACTGTACCAGCCGCAGCCGCCTCCACCAGCTTCCCTGGGCCTCTTGGTGAATGGTCTGTGCAGCCTGGCCCCTCATCGAGGGGCTGGGTGCTGGCCAGTCTCACGGCTTCTTCCTAGCAGTGTCCAGCTTCCTATGTGGGAAGGATCCAGTGGCCCCTCAGATGGGGGCGGGGGGGGGTTGGCAGGTCAAGTCTGCATGCTCCTGGAGCCTGAGCAATAGTGCAGCAAGTAGGACGCTTGCCTTGCACGTGGCCAACCGTGTCCTGTCCCCATAGGGGCCCCTGAGCCCAGCCAGGAGTGATTCCTGACCACAGAGCCAGGAGTAACCCCTGAGCACAGCCAAGAGTGGCCCCCCAAAAAAGTCCACATAATCCAAGCATTTAGGATTTGGGGGACTAGCCAGCACTCTTGCAAACTCTCGGGCATTCTTGCTCCGCCACTGAGTGTCTGTCCTCTGTCTTAAATAGCCACGGCCATGGAACTCGGGTGCCAGGCACCTTCCCACCATCTCATTAACTGTCACGAAGACCTCCCAGACCCTGACGGCCGGTCGAACGCATGGAGAAACTACTCAGACTCCTGGGCGCCCTGATCTAAAACAATCACGCCCAGTAGGGCGCGCGCCAGGGTCCACAAACAGTGGAGTAATCTCGCACCTCTGAAGGACCAGGGCAGGCCGGCCCCCTTGCAGTCTTTCCAGTCCCCTTCCGCCTGTTTACCCTCCTACCAGCCGCAGGCATCCCGACCAGCTCTGGTTTTCAGGGTATGGAAGCCCACCCTGGGATTCTCTCCGCTCTTCGCTCCCCTCTACCTGACCTGGGCCCAGCTGCCCTGCAAAAGGCTGTGCGCACACCTGTGGACTCGGCTGGGGGGCACCTGAGACCTTCTTTCCTACGCTTTCCCCTGAGGGTGGTCGCCGAACACTGGTCCGAACGGACGTGCCCCCCCACCCCGGTTCCTTAAAGGGCCAGACGCCTCCGCAGCCGGGCCCCGGCGCCCTGGGGTGCGGCGCGGCGATTGCGTGACCACCTCTCCCGGTCCAGCTCCTTGAGGAGTTAACTTTCCAGACCCGAGTGTGCTGGAGAGTCGGAGGCAGGGGTGGGCAAAGGGTCAGTGCCGCCTGTCCGCCCCGAAGCCCTCACCCACACCCCCGACCGAGGCCCAGACTCGGGCCCGCCCTCCCCTTCCGTCCCGGGCCCCTCGGGAGGGCCCGCCCCGTGACGTCACCCAGGCGGGCGCCGATTGGTGGGCCGCGCCGTCGTTCCGGACACTTCCTTCTGGGTCTCGGCCGCCGAGGGAAACTTTGCGAGGGGGGCGATCGCGCCGCGGGCGCCGGCCGCCGGGCAGCCCAGCCGGGCCTCCCCACCCGCCGCCCGGCCGCCAGCAACGCCCCTGCTTCGTGGCCCGCCACCCAACTTTTCAGCAACTTCCGAGGCCCGTGGGAGTCCCAGCGCCCCCGGCCCCCGGGGGATCCCTCTCCCCATCCTCGGGTGCGTCGGATCCCCGGCATCCACTCGGTGCCCGGGGAACTCGCGATTCCCGGCTCGAGACTCCTGCTCTTCGCCCGCGAGGACCGGTGAATGCTTCGGGACCCCCCGAGTCCCTGCTTTCACCCCTTTTCGGCTCCGTGCCCCTCTTTCTCAGGGGTCTTTGGCCCTCGGGCGCTTTTTCGTACCCGTGGCCCGCCCGAGTGACTTCCTTCGCTTTCTTGCAACCTCTCCATCGCTAGGTCCGCGAACTCTTCCGATCCCGTGTGATCCCCTCGGTTCCCGGTCCCCGCGATCCCTTCGACTTCCCCGGGCCCCCTCTCTGCTCTCTGCCAGCCCCGTCTCTCCGGGCACCCCGCGAGCGCGGGTCCCTGCAGCCTGGTCCCGGGTGGGCGCCGGGCAGCGCGGCCCGGGTCTCCCCGCATGGCCGCCGCCCCGTCGCAGCCCGTGGCGCTCCCCGGCTCGCCGGGCCCCGGGTCTCCGCCGCCTCTGGGCGGGTTCGAGCTGCTCTCGCCGCCGCCTCTGCAGCCCCCCGGGCCGCCGCCGGGCCCCGGGGTCTCCTTCCACATCCAGATCGGCTTGACCCGCGAGTTCGTGCTGCTGCCCGCGTCCTCGGAGCTGGCCCACGTGAAGCAGCTGGCTTGTTCCATCGTGGACCAGAAGGTAAGCGCGCGGGCCCCCAAGGTCTCTCTCCGCGCCAAAGGGCTTTGCCGAGGGGGCGCTGGAGGAGGCCTGGAGGGTGGCTCAGGGGCTGGGGCAAGAGCGGGGCGGGCTACGTCTTGGGTGACTGAGTGGGGGGAGGCACTGGCTTCCAGTTTAGTCCTCACCTCATCTCAGGAGGGAGGCCTGGGCCAGGGTGGGGTGCCCAGGAGTCCTCCCCCAAATTGCGTGTTCCTGCTTGTTGTTTGCAGCTGGCAGAGAGGAAGGGAGGGGCCGCAGGTGTAGAAGGCAAAAAGGAAGGGGCAGGTGGGGGCAGCAGTTTGGGGTTCCCTGCCGGTCCAGGCCCATCCCCAACCTTCCGTTTGCTGGAAACAGTAGTAAGTGAAGCCTGGCCAGATCGGGTGTCCCCAGTTCTCTCTGCCAGGGCAAATAAGGGCTCAGCGTCTAATCTCAGCCCTCCCCCCACTGGCCACTGTGTGTGTGTGTGTATGTGTATGTCGGGGTCACCAGCAGAAGCCCCCAGTTCATCACACCACGCCTAATCTTAGCCCTCCCCCGCACTGGCCACTGTGTGTGTGTGTGTGTGTGTGTGTGTGTGTGTGTGTTGGGGTCAGCTGTGAAACCCCCTGGCTGCTACTGTAGATCTCCTTCCTCATCCCCGCAGGCCTGAAGCTGGCTTGTTACAGGGGCTTTCCCTGGCCTCAGTGCCCCCCCATCCACCCCACCCCACCCAAGTTTAGGACACCCTCTCCTTATGTAGGGAGAGGGGAGAGGTCATATCCAGAGAGTAGGAGATGAAATTCAGTGCCCAAATCTTAGCGTGTCTGGGGGGAAAAAAAAACAGAATTCTAAGATGTTGACATATGCAAAAGTGGGGTGATAAAAAAAAAGAAGTTCAACTGCTTAGAATCCCAGGTTGTTTAAATGCAAAAGCATCAAAAGGTTGGAATAGTCAATTCCTGGGTTGTTGGAGCCCTAGAGTGTTTAAACGTTAGTGGGGGGGGGGGGCATACCTGGTAGTGCTTGGAGTTTACTTCCTGTTCTGCTCATGCTCAGGAGTAAGCTCTAAGTCCAGCCTTGGGGACTCCCACCACTCTTGACAGGGTGCTCAGGAGACCATATTGGCATCAGAGATCAAATCAGGCAAGCACCTCATCCCCATATAATTTCCCTGGTCCTGGGAGCATTCAACAGTGCTGTTGAAATGCTTTCAAAGGTTGGGGTTGGAGCAATAGCACAGCAGGTACTGCGTTTGCCTTGCACGCGGCCGACCCAGGTTCGATCCCCGGCATCCCATATGGTCCCCTGAGCACTACCTGGAGTAATCTGAGTGCAAAGCCAGGATTAACTTCTGAGCATTGCTGGATGTGACCCAAAAAGGATAAAAAAAATCCTTTCAAAGGTTAAGATTTATCATAAGAGCTGGAGAGACAATACAGCTTGCCTTGCACATAACCAACCTGGGTGGCATACCATATGGTCCCCCAAGCACTGTCAGGAGTGATTCCTGAGCACAGAGCCAGGAGCCAGCCCTGAGCATCACTGGGTGTGGCCCAAACTGCCCCTTCCAAAAAGAAAGATATAATAAGAGATTCCCAATGTTGTAAGAATAACTTATAACTATCTTAATAATCAGACAGTTCATTTCAAAGGCTAAACTATTCAAATACTGGATTCCTCGTCAGCTGGAGTTCTAGGTCATTAACTTTATTAGGCTTATTGCTAATCTAACTTAAAGTCCTCAAATATATCATGATAACATGTTAGAGTCTAGAATAGATTATTGTGGGCCTGGGATGATAGTCCAGCAGGGAGGGCACTTGCCTTGCACATGACTGACCTGGGTCCGATTCCTGGCATCCCATAAGTCCCCCCAAACTTCCCAGGAATGATCCTTGAGCACAGGGCCCAGAGTAACCCATGAGTACTAGTGGCCCCAAACCAAAAGAATTACCATTTAGATGCCCAAGACAGCCTCAATACAGAACCTTTGCAAATGTGAGGACCCAGCGGTAGGACATTGTTTGCCTTGTACATGACCTACCTGGGCTCCTTCTCCGGCATCTCATAGGGTGTCCCCCCACCTCCTGTGCACAGCCAGGAGGAGTAATGCGTGAGTGAGCTCAGAGCCAGGAATACCCACTGAGCATTGCTGGGTGTGACTCAAAAAGAAAAAAAAAAAAAGAAATCGCAGTCTCTTGCAAATGAACTCTTTGGGCTTTAGAGAAATACCAGCATACCAGGAAACTGGGACAACTCCCCAGGAATTTTCTGGAAGAGGAATCCTGGCGCTCGCAGGGGACCAAGATCAAGGCAGCCCCAGGCATCTCGGGGGTCTTTCCTGCAGATTAGGACCCCCAAAGTCACATCCCCCATCCCAACTCAGCCTTCACGGGAGCAATAGTTGTGGCAGGTGACATTCTTCTTCTTCCAAGCCCGAGACTTCAGCTCCTGCAAGTGTGCAAGCCCCTGCACCCCCTCAACGTTTGTTCTGCGCCAGGGGGCTTGGTGCCATCCAGGTGCAGTGAGGAGCCCGGGCTCCCGGCTCTCGCCGCCCCACCTGGGAAGTTTCACTTTCTGTTTTGCCGGTTTCATTTCCTGCCCCGCCCCTGCATCCCAAGTTGGGGATCCAGGCATTGGGGTGGGGGATCCCCTGCCTACCTCCAGCCCTTGCAAACTCTTGCTACGTGTTGGAGCCAGGTAACTCGGAAAATAGATCCAGGAAGGAAGCTGGGGGTTGCGGGGGTTGGTTGATGGGGGTGCTCACACAGCCCCCATTTCTGGAAAATTCGAGGGGTCCACACTAGCTCTCCAGCCACTGGCTCCCTGCTGCAGCCAAGTGGCCGGCGCTCGCGCACCCCCCCCCCCCAGCACCTACCCTCCCCCTTCCCGCACACCTGGCGCCCTGGCATCCTGCCCAACTCTGTGCTTGGGAGGGGATAGGCAGGAAGCAAGGGGCTGTGAGATCTGAGCTTCCGGGGGAAACAGCCGGCCCTTGCTCAAGAAAGCTCCCAGAGCGCGCTACAGGCGGCTCCGCGCTTTCCGTCCCCACCCCGCAGTTTCCCGAGTGTGGCTTCTACGGACTTTACGACAAGATCCTGCTCTTCAAACATGATCCCACCTCGGCCAACCTCCTGCAGCTGGTGCGCTCGGCTGGAGATATCCAGGAGGGCGACCTGGTGGAGGTGGTACTGTCCGGTGAGTGGCTGGTGGCGGGGATGGGGGGTTGGGAGGGGCGGAGCCTCGAGCAGAGGTCTGGACTGGGGTGGGGGGTGGACCCAGACACTTGCTTCTTTCAAGTTAGGGGCCAGTGGTTCTTGGCTGTGGCTGCGGATTAGCATCACCGCGGGAGCTTTTGCATAGGACGCTCTGAAGTGGGCCAATGTGCACCCTACACGCTCACACCCCACACACGCATCCCTCCACGCAAGCACCCTATAAGCTCACACCCCACAGCACAGCATCAAAGGACACATTCAGTGATTTCATTTGCAAGGCAAGGAGAGGGTCAAGTTTCATTTTGGTGTTAGAATTCAGTCTTTGGCCAAGATGAGGTGTGGGGGGAGGGGAGCTCTGGGGAGCTTCCTGGGGCCAGGGGGAAGCTTTTCTCTCTGCACCTGGGTGCTGCTGGCCCCACTTCAAAGTGTCACGAAGCCTTGGCCTTCTGGTGTTTATTTTTCTAGTTAACCTTTAATGCAATTTCCTTTCTTCCTTCCTTCCTTCCTTCCTTCCTTCCTTCCTTCTTTCCTTCCTTCTTTCATGTTGTTTTGAGTTCACACCCAGTGATTCTCAGGGCTTACTCCCCTGGTGAGGCTCAGGGATCATATGGGGTACCGGGAATTCAACACAGGTCTGCTGTGTGCGAGGAAAGTGCCCTACCCACTGTACTATCTCTCCAGCCCTGTGAGGTTTTCTTTCTTTGGTTTGGGGCCACACCTGATGGTGCTCAGGGGTCACTACCTGCTCTGTGGTTCTGTACTCAGGGGTTGCTCCTGGCGGTGCTGCCTGGGTCCCTGGGGATTGATCCAGGTCCAACTGCATGCAAGGCAAATGCCTTAACCCCTGTACTGTCTCTTGGCTCAATATGAAGTTTTGTTTTTGCTTTTATTGAGGTGGAGGGTTTGGGCAGTACACCTGGTGGTAGTTAGGCCTTACTCCTGGTCTGTGCTCAGGTTCACTCCTAGCAGGGCTTGGGGAATTCTATGAGGTGCCAGGGATGCAACCTGGGTCAGCTGTGTGTAATGCAAACATCTTACCCTCTGTAGTATCTCTCCAACCCCACATGAAGTGTTTTTTTTTTCCTTTTTGGGTCACACCTGGCGATGCACAGGGTTTCTCCTGGCTCATGCACTCAGGAATTACTCTTGGCGGTGCTTAGGGGACCAATATGGGATGGTGGGAATTGAACCCGGGTCAGCCGCGTCCAAGGCAAACGCCCTACCTGCTGTGCTATTGCTCCAGCCCCCACATGAAGTTCTAAAACAGCATTAAAGGGAGCCAGAGCAGTAGTACAGCAGGTGGGGGTTTCCCTTGCATGCGGCTGGCCCGGGATCGATCCCCGCCAGCTATCCCATATGGTCCTCCAAGCACCACCAGGAGCAATTCCTGAATGCAGACCCAGGAGTAACCCCTGAGAGTATCACTGGGTGTAACCCCCCCCCCCCCCCCCCCACTAATACCACTGGGAAGGCACTTGCCTTGCATGTTATTGACCCAGATTTGATGCCTAGCACCTTATAGGTCTCCCAAGCCCCACCAGGAGTGATCCTGAATGCAGAGCCAGGAGTAAGCCCTGAGCCCTGCTGGGTGTGGCCCCAGAACAAACACAAACTAGAATTACCTACTTCCTCCCCAGTGTCATGCTGTCAGAACTCCGCCTCTACACGGTCAGATGAAACCCAGGCATCTCTTGTATGAAAATGGCCTGGTCAGTGGCCAGAGCAATAGTACAGCGGGGAGGACATTTTCTTTGCATATGACTGATCCGGGTTCGATTCACTGCATCCCATAGGGTCCCCCAAGCACCGCCAGTAGTAATTCTTGAGTGCAGAGCCAGGAGTAACCCCTGAGCATTGCCAGGTGTGACCCAGAAAGAAAAAAAAAAGGTCACTTAAGGGCCAAAGAGATAGTACAACAGGTAGGGCACTTGTCTTATGTGTGGCAACTCCCATCCCTCGTACCTCATATTGTCGCCCAAGTTCACCAGAGCTAGGAGTAATCCCTGAGCACCACTGATTGTAGCCCCAGTCCCCCCTCCTCAAAGAAAATAAAGAAAAAGTTGCTTACTGCAGCAAGGTGATGGGGGGGCAAGGGGGACAGGTGGGGGAGGGGAGAAGGGGAAGGGGTGGTGGTGAAGCGGGTTCGGGGAATAAGACTAGTCCAAAAACTAAATTTTTGAAATAAGAGTATCGACACTGTTCTCAGTGCTCTGTGTCTATACATTCATTTAAGTCTCGAATAACTTAATGGGAAGGAAGATATGATAGTGCAGGCTCAAAAGCCCCTGCCTTGTGTGCTGTCAACCCTGGTACGTCATATGTTCCCTCCAGCACCACCAGGGGTCACTCCTGAGCACTGCTGGGTATCGACACCCCACCCCTCCCTAAAACAAAAGTATTAGAAATTTAAGATACTGGTGTGCTGTGTCCTTATCCCCCACCTCCAGCAGGCCAAACCTTTGTCTTGATGTACCATTTGGGGGGAAGGGAGGTAGGAGGAGGGCCTTGGTGCTCAGATATTATTATTCCTGGCTATGGATTTGGGGCTGGAGCGATAGCACAGTGGGTAGGGCGTTTGCCTTGCACGCAGCCAACATGGCCGACCCGAGTTCAATTCCTCCGCCCAACGGGAGAGCCTTTACTTACTTTACTTATGGATTTGGGGACCAGCAATGCAGGGGACCAAACTCAGATCCCTGGCGTGCAGAGCATGCATGTGAGTGTTTTCAACCATCTCCCTGGTCTTTGGACTATCTTTTCCAATTGTGGAGAAACCATACGTGACATAAATGACCCCTTTTATTAAGGATAGTTTTTTAAATGTTTATTGGAGGAGGGGTCATCCACGTGCGGTACTCAGGGGAGTTCCTGGCTCTGTGCTTAGAAGTGACTCCTGACCGTGCACAGTGGCAGGGAAGCCCTAACTTAAGTCCACTGTTCCAACCTCCTCTATCTCTCTGGCATGCACACATGGGGCCCAGGGACTCTATTTGCAAGACTAATGCTTTGTGACAAAAAAAAAAAAAAGACTAAAATGCTTTGTTCACTGTGCTATCATCTTTAAAAGCATATCTATTTAGATTCATGAACCACACCCAGCAGTATTGGCTCAGAGGTATTTTGGCCGCACTGAGGGGGACCATATGGGATGTTGGGGATCAAACTTGGGTCTGCCTCTACCAAGGCAAAGGCCCTGCGCTCTGTACTATCGCTCAGACCCCCGAACTATTCTTCTGAAGTTTCTGTTCGGGTCGCGTTGGTTCTGATCATGCTGTTGTACAACCAGCGTTCAGAGCTCTTTTGCACCTTGCCCAGTGGAAACCTGTCACACACCTTCCACCACAGCTCCCGGCCCCAGCGTTGGTTTCTAGCCTGGTGGTGCAGTGGGGATGTAGAGTCAGGGAGAATGTCCTATGCAAGGAAGGTCAGGGTGAGAACCCCTGGAAAGTGGGGCTGCTGCAGCAGCCCCGACTCAAATGTCCACGCCCCCCTGCTGCCTGCAGCTTCTGCCACCTTCGAGGACTTCCAGATCCGCCCGCACGCCCTCACGGTGCACTCATACCGCGCTCCGGCCTTCTGCGACCACTGCGGGGAGATGCTCTTTGGCCTGGTGCGCCAGGGCCTCAAGTGTGATGGTGAGAGGGGGACGCGAAGGGCGAGGGGCGCGCGTGGTGGGAGAGCTTGGACTGGAGCCGGGCTGGGGGCAGAGCAAGGGGCGTGGCCTGTGGTGGGCGGGGCCGGAAGGGCTTAGCTCCAGGGGCGGAGCCTTGGAGAGGTCCCCGGAACCTGCCTTGGGGAAAGAGCTGGAATTCCGGTCCAGGGGCAGGGGCAGAGGGCGAGGCTGCTGAAGCCTGGGAGGTGGAAGTCAGAGGAAGAGGTTCGGGCCTTTACCAGTGGGCAGAGCCTCTCATAGGTCTGGAATCCACCCAGCTCGAGAGGGAGGTGTGACTGTCAGGTAGATTTCCTCATTCGGGAAATCCCAGTTCTGTTCTTAAACCTTTCAGCACAGCCGGTTGGGCGTTTTCTTTGCACACGGTCGACCCGGGTTCGAGACCCGGTATATCATATGATTCCTCCCCCTAGCCCCCCAAGCCCCACCAGGAGTGATCTCTGAGTGCAGAATCAGGAGTAAGCCCAGACATCGCCTGGTGTGGTATAGCCAAAAACAAAAACAAAAACCTTTCAGTGGGTTGAAACATCAGTCCCTATTCTAGCACACCCCTTCACCCCAACCATGCCCCTCTCCCCGGCCACAAGAGTGTGGATTGAGTCACATCCATAGAATGACCTTCTCAGCAGATTAGTGTTTGAATAACTGGGGACGCCGACCTCGCCCACTGACACATAAACATGACCATCAGAATCTACCTCCTGTCCTCCTGTCCACTGGGCACCGGGGATCAAACTTGGGTCAGCCGCATGCCGGGCAAACGTTCTACCTGCATGCTGAACTACGGCTCTGGCCCCTCAAGGGCAGATTCTTAGCATCGGGCCAGAAAGACAGATGATGGGCCAAATTCATATAGTTTCAAAAGAGGCTCAGTAACACATCCCTCCCCTGGGAGCTGGAAGTGGATGAAACTCTGGAATCCCAGAAGCCTGTGAGAGAAGATAAGGCAAAACAGGGGTGGGGTAGATGATTCCTAGGTGCAAAGGGTGCTTGTTTGCTTAAACTGCAATAGCTCCAGCAACCTCCTCCCCACCCCCATATATGCACACATAGGATCCCGGACAGTGGCTGCCATGAATTACCAAGCGGGGACCTTTATAACCGGCGCCGAACAGAAAAACTTAAGTCACCTTTGATCACTTGGGATCACACCAGTGCTGTATTAGTGCAAGGGCTCAGGAATGCCACTAGAATATGACAAACAGACTGATTATCTCCTGGATAAGGACTGGAGGGGTGGGAGGGACAAAAAGAAGAACTGGAGTGTTAGAGCGATAGCACGGAGGGTAGGGTAGGGTGTTGCCTTGCACACAGCCAACCCAGGTTTGATCCCTGGCATCCCATAGTGTCCCCAAGCAACACCGGGAGTGATCCTGAGCACAGAGCACAATAAGGAAGAAACCCTTGTCTGAAACCCTAGGTGCGGCTTCTTCCAATGCCCAAGCCAGGCTCCCTTGGCCCACAGCCTAGCCCTGGCCACTTTCTGGTCTTTCGCTGTCAGTGGTACCCAGACCTTCATCCACGAAGGCTCCAGGCCATGAGCAATGCTGAGGTTTCATGCTCTGTTTCATTTCATGCTGAGGACACATGCTCCGTCACTGAGCTACACTCCTTCCGTTGGCTTTAAGGGTACGAATCAGAGGCTTAGTGGTGTTGAAGTGATAGCACAGCAGGTAGGGGCGTTAGCCTTTCACGCAGCCGACCCGGGTTCAATTCCCAGCATCCTGATTACCACCAGGAGGAATTTCTGAGTGCAAAGCCAGGAGTAACCCCTGAGCATCGCCAGGTGTGACCTCCAAAAAATAAAATAAAGGAGCTAAGCTTAGCCTCTGCCCTGCAACCCAGTCCTGGGCCGGCAGGCCTAACCAAGGCGGTGGAGCAGGGGTTTTCACCCATTTTTTTACACCTGCCATCTGACAGGTGATTGAGTGCCACTGATCTATAAAAAGAAAAAAAAAACTGGGGAGGGGGCTCAGATAGAGGGAGCTTCAGGGCGCAAACCGGATGGACAACGACGGCTTGGCGCCCCCTGTAGGTTGCGGGCTGAACTACCACAAGCGCTGCGCCTTCAGCATCCCCAACAACTGCAGCGGGGCGCGCAAGCGACGCCTGTCGTCCACGTCTCTGGCTAGTGGCCATTCAGTGCGCCTGGGCACTTCAGAATCCCTCCCCTACACGACTGATGAGCTGGTGAGTGTCTGGGGCGTCAGAGATGGCAGCGGGAAGGGGTTGAGAGTGGGCTTTGGGGCCACAGCCAAAGCTCCTGCACTTTCTAGAGCCGCAGTACTGCAGAGCTCCTGCCCAGACGCCCTCCTTCCTCCTCCTCCTCCTCATCCGCCTCGTCCTACACCGGCCGCCCCATCGAGCTGGACAAGATGCTTCTGTCCAAGGTCAAAGTGCCGCACACCTTCCTCATCCACAGCTACACGCGGCCCACCGTCTGCCAGGCCTGCAAAAAACTCCTCAAGGGTCTTTTCCGCCAGGGCCTGCAGTGCAAAGGTCAGTGGACCTGGCCCCCAACGCCGTGGCCCGGGATCAGAACACACCTCCACCTAACGCACCCAGACTCAGAATCGCTTCTGGGCTCCTACTAGAATTAAATCCCTGGTTCCGGAGTGATAGTATAGCGGGTAGGGCGTTGCCTTGCACACGACCGACCCGGGTTTGATCCCCAGCATCCCATATGGTCCCCCAAGCACCGCCAGGAGTAATTCCTGAGTGCAAAGCCAGGACTAACCCCTGAGTTTCACTGTGACCCAAAAAGCCAAAAAAAAAGAATTGAGATCCCTGATGGGCACTTGCTTTGCATGTCGCTGGCCCAGGTTTGATCCCCCACATCCCATAGGGCCCCCTGAGCACCACCAGGAGTGATTTCTGAGCTCAGAGCCAGGAGTAAGCCCTGAGCTTTGCCAGATGTGGCTCAAAAATCAAACAATTAGAATCCATTAGGGGTACAGGGGCTTAGAAGGGGTGTCCCTGAATCCTGACCTAGAATCCTAGAATCTTAAGAATTCTGTAATTCTGGCACCTTCTCCTTTAGGACGTGTAGATTTTTTTTTTTTATGGAGTTCTAGAATCGATGTCATCTAGATTTTTTGAAACTCCTAAGATGGAATTCTGAAATTAGAATGTGAGAACCTTTCCCCACCTTCCCTATATGAATACTTTTACTAGGGACATGGGAATTAGGGGGAGCCACAAGTTTAGAGGACCTTGGAAACATCAAGCATTGTAGATGGGGGACCCAGAATGATAGGACAGCAGGGAGGGTGTTTGCTTTGCACGGGGCTGACCAGGGATCAATCCCTGGCATTCTCTGTGGTTCCCCAATCACCACGAGGGGTGATTCCTGAGAGCAGAGACAGGAGAAACTTCTGAGCATCACCAGGTGTGGCCTCCAAACAAACAAAAACCCTAAAGAATTCAAGATGGGGGCTGTAGAAATACAACAGCGGGTGGAGTGTTTGCTTTGCACGCAGCTGACCTGGGTTTTATTTTTATTTTATCATTTATTTATTGGTTTTTGGGCCACACCCGACAATGCTCAGGGGTTACTCCTGACTCTGCACTCAGGAATTACTCCTGGTGGTGTTTGGGGGACCATATGGGATGCTGGGAATCGAACCCGGGTCGGCCACATGTAAGGCAAACGCCCTACCACTGTGCTATTGTTCCAGCCCCCTGACCTGGGTTTTATCCCCAACATCACATATAGTCCCCCAAGCCTGCTAGGTATAATCCCTGAGCACGGCCAGTTGTGCCCACCCCCCCAAAAAAAATTTAGAATCGTGGGGCCTGGAAAGATGGGAAAGTGCACTGGAGTGCAGGTTTTACACATGGGAGCCTCAACTCCATTCCCCTAAGCATCAGACAAGAAGTAGCCCCAAAGGGCTGTACCCATAGCACAGCAGGAAGGGCATTTACCTTGCACGTGACCAACCCGAGTTCGATCCCCAACATCCCATAGAGTCCCCTAAGCACCGCCAGGAGTAATTCCTGAGTACAGAGCCAGGAGTAACCCCTGAGCATCACCAGGTATAAATAAACCAAAAAGAAAAAAAAAAAAGAAGAAGAAAAAGAAGTAGCCCTAGGCACCACCAGTCCCAAAACCATATTCTCCCCTTCTCCCTGCCCCCGCCTTTTTCAATCTAGAAATCTAGTTAATGTACATTTCCAGTGTTAGGACTTTAGACCTTCGGAGTTGTGGGTGTTCTAGCCCCAGATCCTCACTTCCTCTACGTGCAGCCGATTCCTCCCTTGGAATCAAACACAGGGACAGCCAGGAGGGGACGGCCAGACTTCCTTTCAGGACAGCCAGAGCAGAGTCTGCGGTGTGGGGACTCGGGTCCATACCATGCTCTCACACTCTCTTTCCCTGCACTGTCTCCTCATTGGCTGGACCCCTACCAGACTGCAAGTTTAACTGTCACAAACGCTGCGCCACCCGCGTTCCTAATGACTGCCTGGGAGAGGCCCTTCTCAATGGAGGTAAGAGAGGAGCTCGGGGGCCGGAGCAATAGCACAGCGGGGAGCGAGTTTTCTTTGCACACGGCCGACCCGGGTTTGATCCCTGGCATCCCATATGGTCCCCCAAGCACCGCCAGGAGTAATTCCTGAGCTCAGAGCCAGGACTAACCCCTGAGCAACGCTGGGTGTAACCCAAAAAGCAAGAGAGAGAGAGAGACGCTGGGAACTGGGCAGGGGGGGGCATGACCTGGGGGAGTCCCTTGAATGCCCCTTGTCGCTGCCCAGACGTGCCGATGGAGGAGGCCACAGATTTCGCAGAGGCGGACAAGAGCGCCCTCCTGGACGAGCCTGATGACACTGGCGTCATCCCTGGCTCCCATGCAGAGAACGCCCTCCGTGCCAGCGAGGAGGAGGAAGGCGAGGGTGGCAAGGCCCAGAGGTACCCAGGGCACCCTCAGGGCAGTCCCACCCCATCTCCCAAGGTTTCCCATTCCCTCGTCCAGGGCCTGTTCCCAGGTTCCCAAGATGAGCCTTCGCAGCACACAAACTGCTTTTGAACTTCGTTCCTTAGGTTCAGCCTTAAAAAGTTCCCACCCAGGGCCACAGAGCTAGCACAGGGGGTAAGGCACTCATCTCGCATATGGTCTATCCAAGTTTGATTCCCAGCACTGCACAGGGTCCCCCAAACACCACCAGGAATGATCCCTGAGCACAGAGCCACGACTCAGTCTTGAGCACCAGGGGGGTGTGACCCAAATACCAAAACTAAAACAAAACTTTACCCCTTGGATAGAGGCAGCATTAACTATGGGAGAATGGCCCTTCCACTCATCTCTGCATCAGTTCATGTTTTGTGTATTAGTGGGGCACAACAGCAGTGCTTAGTGGCTACTCCTGGGTCAATGTGGGGGACAACTCCGAGCAAGTAACTGGGGGACTATGATGGAACCCAGCCTCTCGCAGGCAACACACACTCTCAACCTGTTGAGCTTCCTCTCTGGCCCATCAGTAAATACTAACTAGTACCTTCTGATTCTAAACTCGTTTACCATGAGCAAAACCAGTAAAAGCCTCGGAGAACTAACACTCTACCTGGGGCCAGGAGGTGCAAAGGCCCTGGGGTCAGCCCAAGCATGTTCTGATAACTGCAGTTGCTCCGTGTGCTTGGAGCAGGGAGGGTGAGTGGAAGAGGGTAGTGGCTGAGGTTCTGGGGGCAGAGCATCTGAATATAGGGAGGGTTCCTTACTGGTGCCCCCTAAGAACCTCTGCCAGGAGCCTCGAACTTTGGGAACTGTAAGAGCTGTCAGAATAGAAACCCCCCCTCCCCTCCCCTTGTACAGCTGAGATGGTCTTGGGCCACACCTCACGGTGCTCAGGCAGGGGTGGGTCACATCCAAGGCTGTCAAGGCAAGTGTCTTACTCTCTCCTTTTCACTTTGGAAAATCTGAGGTGTGGCTCCCCCAAATCCTCCAGCCACCCGAGTTTCCCCCACTCCACTCCCTGCACATGCCCCGAGGTAAGGTCATTTTCTGCCTGTAACCCCTCTCCCTTTTCGTCCCACGCACCCGCAGCTCGCTGGGGTACATTCCGCTGATGAGGGTGGTGCAGTCGGTGCGACACACAACACGGAAGTCCAGCACCACCCTGCGCGAGGGGTGGGTGGTGCATTACAGCAGCAAGGACACGCTGGTGAGCGGGGGTGGCGGGGGCGGAGGTGCTGCTGCATTTGGGGGCCCAGGAGAGGAGGGTCGAGGTTATGGAGGATGAGACCTGGGTTCGGGCATGGTTCAAGTCAATCAAGGGGCGTGCGTGTGTGTGTGTGTGCGCGTGCGCGCGCGCGCCTGCCTGCTTGCCTGCATGTGTGTGCGTGCGTGTGTGTGCGTGTGTGTGTATGTGTGTGGCCAGATGGAGCAAAATTGGGATTAAAGGACAGGAAAGGAGAAGTTTTGTCATAGCTGGGCCAGATCAGGGCAAGGCAGGAAGTAAGGGGAAGGGTCAGGATTAATTTAACAAGGGGACAGGTGGGAATAGGACTGGAGTTGGCAGCAGCGCCGCCCAGCGAGGAGGAGTTGGAATTACAGGTGTGGTTTGAGTCGCTGAGGGATGGGGCTAGTTATTGGACAGGGTTGGCTTGGGGCGGGATAGGTGGTGGGCTAAGTCATCCGAGTCAGCAGGCTGTGAGGCTGGCGGGGCTCTGCTGGGGGCTGGGCGGTGGGTGGGAGCTGGACCCCATCGAACCCCCGCCATGTCTCCCTGCAGAGGAAGCGGCACTACTGGCGTCTGGACTGCAAGTGCATCACGCTCTTCCAGAACAACACGACCAACAGATACTACAAGGTGGCCCCAGCTGTCCCCAACCCCTGCCCGCCTGCAACCCCCTCCTCTCCTAGTAACTCAGGCCGCCCACTTTGTGTGCCCCGCACCAGCAGTGTGCCAGCAGCACCTATCCAAGAATAGTTGTGCACCCTGGCGGCGGTGGGGACGGAATTGAGAGGAGATCTACAGGAGGCCGGAGACTTTGGGGTGGTCATTTGTTTCTCACTCACTGACTGGCTTATGTCTGGTATTCACCGCCACTCTGTAGCACTGTGTGCCGGCCTGCAGGCGTGCAGCAGTTTCCTCCCCCTGGGCCTGCTTCTCTCTTGTCCCGGTAGCAGCCAGAGGAGTTGCTTCCAGCCATTAGAATGCTCCCATGGCCCCATTGCCCTTGAAAGAAAAGCAGGACATGGGGCTGGAGCAATCACACAGCAGGGAGGGCGCTTGCCTTGTTCTTGACAGACCTGGATTCTATCCCAGGTACCCCATATGGTTTCCTGAACCTGCCAGGAGTAGTTCCTGAGTGCGAGAGCCAGAAATAACCCCTAGAACACTGCCCAGTGTAGTCCCCCCCACCCCACACACACATCAAAAATAAATAAACCTGGGGTCCCCAGAGTCTCCTGGAGACAAGGCCCAGGTACCTTCTATGGCCCATCCCACTCCCAATTTACTAACCAAGCATGGGGCAATCCAGCACTACACCCCAAGTTGTGGATGTGCTGCCTTCCCTGAGCGCAAGCCCTTTCTACCACAGGGCCTTTGCACATGCTGTGTCCACCTCTCTCTGCCTGCTCACTCCACTCCCACCAGACCTTTCCCTGCTGCCCCTGTATCCTGTGTTCTTCATCCCCTAACCTGCCCTGCCCCTGGCCTGCAGGAAATCCCACTGTCGGAAATCCTTGCGGTGGAACCTGCCCAGAACTTCAGCCTTGTGCCACCTGGCACCAACCCGCACTGCTTCGAGATCATCACTGCCAACGCCACCTACTTTGTGGGTGAGACGCCAGGCGGGGCCCCTGGAGGACCGAGTGCTCAGGGGGCTGAGGCTGCCCGGGGCTGGGAGACCGCCATCCGCCAGGCTTTGATGCCCGTCATTCTCCAGGATGCGCCCAGCACTCCTGGCCACACCCCCCACCGTAAGTTCCCCTCCTGGGCCCTACGAGCTGGATTCTGGTTGGGCAAAGGTCCAGGGCGAGTCCCAAGCACCAGGGGTGGCCCCATGAGTATGTGGCCTCCAGACTCAAGAGGCGTGTAACCTACGCTCTGCCCAGCTCTGGGCTGGTGTGTGCCCTTGGGTAGGTCCCCTTTCCAAGCTGATCCCAGCTGGGCCCTGGCCTGCAGGTATCCAGGAGGGCTTCATGGAGGAGGTAGCACTCAGGAGCACCTGAGGAGGAGAGAGAAGAGGGGCTCACAAATGGGAGTCACTTCAGAGGTGAAGGGGATCTGAATTCCAGGGTCCTACTTTCATACTCTGGTGTGAGTGATGGATGGCCCTGTGCAAGTGTCAGACAGGACAGGGTACATGGGCTCGAGGAATTGAACTTGGTCCCAGGGGTTGAGGATGAAAAACAGGAATGAATGAATGAATGTGTGTGTGTGTGTGTGTGTGTGTGTGTGTGTGTGCATGTGTGCGTGTATGTGTGTGTTGGTGGGTGCCACACCCAGTGGTGCTTAGGGGTTACTCCTGGCTCTATGCTCAGGAATTACTCCTGGCAGTGCTTGAAGGACTCTATGGGATGTCGGGGATCAAACACAGTTGACTTATGCAAGGCAGGCACCCAACCAGCTGTACTTTGCTCCTGCCCTGATTTTTTGTTTGTGCTATTTATTTGGGGGGTCACATCTAGCTGTGCTCAGGAGCTACTCCCAGTTCTGTGCTCATGGGTTACTCCCTCCAGGCCCTGGGGGACCCTGTGTACTGGGAATGGAGCATGTAAGTGAGTGCAGCAGCCCTTTGAGCTAGCTCTCTGGCTCAAAGTGGGGAGGATTTAACTTGAGGCAGATTGAGGGGAAAAGCATTCTCGGCACAGGAAACAGCTGGTGCAAAGGCCCAGTGATGAATCAGAGTCCAAAGTACCAGGAAATTAGGAAAGCCTGGTTCTTTGATTTGGGGCCACACCCAGTGATGCTTAGGGCTTACTTACAGCTCTGTATTCAGGAATCACTCCTGTCAGTGCTCAGGGGACCTTATGGGTTGCTGGGGGTCGAACCTGGGTTGGTCATGTGTAGGCAGATACCCTTTCCATTGTCCTATCGCTCTGGCCCCACAGTGTTCCCGGTTTTTGGCCTTTGGAGCCACACCTGGCAGCAGTCAGGGGTTCAGAGATTCCTCATTGTGCCAGGGATCAAACCCCAAAACCCACATTGCAGAGCAGATGCTATGGTCCCTCGAGCTGCCTTCCCGGCCCTTGAGGTCACAGGTAGACGAGGGACCAGCCTCCCATTGGGTCATCCCAAGGCTCAACTTTCTCCCCCGGGCACTGAGGGGCTGTATCATCGGTGCGAGCACAGGGGAGGCAGAGCTGAAGGACAGCAGGAGAGACCTGGAAACTGAACTGGGGGAAGGAGGGGTGAGGAGAGATGTACAAATGGCAGGAAGGTGGGGGCAGTGGGCAGAGGCAGCAGGCTCAGACTGGGCACTACATCCCAGACACCCTAGCACAGCCCGCCTTGATTCTGGGGGAAAACGCACAGCGATCTTACAGCGTCTCCTCATGGAACCGCATCCCCACACTTCACTTCTTTCCCTGGTGGTCCCCTTATCCTGGTGAGGATGCTGAGGCTCCTAGTGGAGCCATCGGTCCAGTTGCGTGTTGGGAGGTCCTTGAGGTCTGGCTCCAGAAACTGCCTCTGGCTTTAGGGATAAAGAGAGCCCGGGCGGGGGATGAAGCGATAATACACTGATAATGCAGTTCCACCCCCAGCATCCCATGTGGTCCCTTAAGCACCGCCAGGAGAGATCCCTGAGTGTCGAGCCAGGATTAATCCTGGGGCGGTGTAACCCAAAAACCTCAATAGAGTCTGGGGTCCCCCATCTCTGCCTCTCCTCTCTCCCCAGGACAAGCTTCTCTGAGCATCTCTGTGTCCAACAGCCAGATCCAAGAGAATGTGGTGAGTCTCCAGCGCTGCCCGCCCTCCCCTGCACGGCCCCTCGGCCTGGGGCCTTCGCCAGCCTGACCCTCCCTGAAACCCTTCCCCCCCCAGGACATTGCCACCGTGTACCAGATCTTCCCCGATGAGGTGCTGGGCTCAGGGCAGTTCGGTGTGGTGTACGGAGGTAAGGGTCAGGAAACGGCCCGCGGGGTGCGGGGCGTTTGGGGGCTCGCACCTTCCCATGGCATGAAAGACTCGACTCTCTTTTCCTCCCTGGGACTGAGGGTGGCTTTCCTGGTTGTTCGACGAGAGGGCCATGATTGACCTCAGCGGAGCCCTGGCCTTTTTTTTTTTTCTTTTTGGTCACACCCGAAGATGCTCAGGGGTTACTCCTAGCTCTGCACTCAGAAATTGCTCTTGGCAGTGCTCAGGGGACCATATGGTATGCCAGAGACGGAACCCTGGTTGGCCAGGTGTAAGGCAAACGCCCTCCTGCTGTTATCACTTCGCCCCCAATTCTGGGGTTTTGGTGGTTTTTTTTTTTCTTTTTTGAGCCACACCTGGAGATGCTCAGGGGCTACTCCTGGCTCTGTGCTCTGGATTCGCTCCTGTCGATGCTTGGGGGACCATATGGGATGCTGGGAATTGAACTCAGATTAGCCATGTGCAAGGCAAACGCCCTCCTCTCTGTCCTATCGCTTTGGCCCAGACCCTTGTACCTTTTTTCACCCCACCTGCTTTCTCAGACCCCTTCCCCATATTGCCTGTTTCTCTCTCTCTCTCTCTCTCTCTCTCTATATATATATATATATATATATTTGGCTCTTTGGGTACACTTGTGATGCTCAAGGGTTACTCCTGGTAGTGCACTCAGGAATCACTCCTGACAGTGCTCAGAGGACTGTCTAGGACGCTGGAGATGGAACCTAAAGTGGCCACCTGCAAGGCAAATACCCTACCTGCTGGTCTATCACTCCAGCCCCACCAGTTTCTCTCCTGAGGGCCTTTAGCCCCTCCTCCTGCCCCCCAGCAGCTTCTGTGTACCTCTGCCCAGCTCTGGCCATGTCTCTGTGCAAGGACTGGGAAGGTCCTATTCCCTGCATCTCCCTGGCCCATGCAGGAAAGCACCGTAAGACAGGCCGGGATGTGGCGGTGAAGGTCATTGACAAACTACGCTTCCCCACCAAGCAAGAGAGCCAGCTCCGGAATGAAGTGGCCATCCTGCAGGTGAGCTCTGTGGCCTTACCCTGTACCCACCCAGGAAGGCCCTTCTCATCATTTTCTCTGGGCCTTGTTCCAGTAACCCATCTGAGGGGAGGGTGGGGGGCAGTCAGGGAGGACTTCCTGGAGGAGGGGATCTGTTGGCAGAGACAAGGGAGGGTGGCACTCTCCCTCTGCTGGAGTAAGCTAGAAGGGAACTTGAGGGGGTTCCCAGATCCTAGATGACTTCTGGAGAGGGGTGGGTTTCCCCTTGAGAGTCCTGAGGAGCCATGAAGGAGAATGAGCAAGCAAGGAAGAACCCTTTGTGTACTTCAGAAAAATCTCTCCAGGGGTCAGAGGTAGCACAGCGGGAAAGCACTTGCCTTGCATGCGGCTGACCAAGTTCGATCCCCAGCATCTCATATGATCCCCAAACCCCACCAGGAGCAATTCCTGAGTGAAGAATCAGGAGTAAAAAGTGTGGGGGAAAAAAAAAGTAAAAAGAAAAGTCTCTCTGGCTGTCATTGGTGGGTAGTTGGTGGATACCCACTAGGGCAGGGAGGGGAAGAATCCAAGGACACTGAATGAGGGCCAGAATGGGAGAAAAGGGATGAGTCAAGCCAGGGCTGGGAAGAGCGAGGAGATCCCACAGCTCAGAGAGACAAATCTGGGGCCGGAGCGATAGCACAGCAGGTAGGGCATTTGCCTTGCACACGGGTTCGATTCCCAGCGTCCCATATGGTCCCCCGAGCACCACCAGGAGTAATTCCTGAGTGCAAAGCCAGGAGTAACCTCTGAGCACCTCCGGGTGTGACTCAAAAAGCAAAAAAAAAATAAAAGGACAAACCTGGGTCAGGGAGAGAGTGTGAAGGGGCAGAGCACAGGACCTTGAGTCTTGAGTCCATTCCCCGCCCCCCCCGCCCCCACTGTACACAGGAAGACCCAAACTCAGGCACCACCTCCCTCCTCCACACCACAGCCAGGCCTTCAGCCCGAGGTCATGCCATGCAGATGCCGGAGGCACCTGGCAGCTTCCCGCTGCCCCCAGGGAAGGAGCCCCCATCTTCCTAGCCCTCGCCCACGGCTGGTCCTCCAGGCTCCCTCACCCCGCACTGTCCTCACTCCCCAGAGTCTGCGGCACTCGGGCATCGTGAACCTGGAGTGCATGTTTGAGACGCCCGAGAAGGTGTTCGTGGTGATGGAGAAGCTGCATGGAGACATGCTGGAGATGATCCTGTCTAGCGAGAAGGGGCGGCTGCCCGAGCGCCTCACCAAGTTCCTCATCACCCAGGTGAGCTGCCACCTCCCCTCCCCACTCGGGGGGCAAGCAACTGGAGTGGGAGTCACAGGAGCTGGCAATCAAGGGATGGGGGAGCGGGAGCCACAGTACAGCTGGGAGGGCGTTTGCCTTGCATGTGGCCAGTTCAGATCCCCAGCATCCCATACGGTTCCTCAAGCACCATCAGAAGTGATTCCTGAAGCAGAGGCAAAAAGAGAAAAAAAAAATCAAGGGTTGGAAGTATAGACTATGTATGTGAGGGGCCCTAAGTTCTCCTGGATTTGATCCCCAACATTCCAGTATTGCATGGTCCCTCCCTTAACACACCCTAAGGGACCATGCAGGGCTGGGGATCAAACCCAGGTCCCTTAGCTCTGCTGGCCCCAAAACTCCGTCCCACCAAAAAAAAAAAAAAAAAGAACTCAGATGCAAAGCTCATCAGCTATGTGACCCTAGGCATGTTGCTTGATCCAGAACCTCAGTTTCTTCAGCTGTGAAATGGGGACCCTGTGCAAACTAAATCAGTTTTTATAAATCTGAGGACAGGGGCCAGAGCAATAGTACAGCAGGGAAGGTGTTTGCCTTACATGCGGCCAAACCCGAGTTTAATCCCCAGCATCTCATATGATCCCTCAAGCACGTTAGGAGTAATTCCTGAGTGTAGAGCCAGGAGTAACCCCTGTGCATCGCTGGGTGTGACCCAAAAAGCAAAAAAAAAAAAAAATTGATTGAGAATAGTGGTGAAGTGATAATACAACAGGAAGGCGCTTGTCTTGCATGTGGCTCACCCCAGTTCAATCATGGCACCCCACATGGTCTCTCGAGCACCTCCAGGAGCATCTCTCTGAGCACCACTGGGTGTGATGACCTACCCCCCCATTAAAAAAATCTGAGAACCATGCCTGGCACCTAGTCAGTGTTCTGGAAGTCTTAAAGACCCCTGCATTGATCCTCATCATGGTCAGCATCATCTGTCCCCACCCTGCCCACTCATCACTGTCACCATCACTGTGTCACCAACAGTGCCCGGTGTCAGGCCAGGCCCAGAGCATTGCAGAGTTCGTTGAACAATCTAAGAGGTGAATCAACTATACAGAGAGGGTAAGGGGTTCGGCCCCACTCCTGTTTCCCTGCAGAAATGCAGCCCCAGGGCTGATCCATCACAGGAAGCAATAGCAGAAAATAGTGTTGTTATTATTATTATATTGTTATACTTATTCTCAGCACAGTGGTAGGGCCTTTGCCTTGCACGCAGCCAGCCTGGCTGAGCCAAGTTTGATTCCTCCGCCCCTCTCGGAGAACCTGGCAAGCTACCGAGAGTATTCAACATGCCAAACACAGTAACAAGAAGTCTCACAATGGAGATGTTACTGGTCCCGCTCGAGCAAATTGATGAACAACGGGAGGACAGTATTCTCACAGTATTCTCACAGTATTCTTCCATAATGTTAATAACTTGTTATTATTACAAAAAATTTTAAGCTATTTAATACTTATTATTATAGTAGTTTTATATATAATAGTAATACTGGTACTGTATTGTTTTTTGGGGAAATTGGGCCCCACTCTATGGTGCTCAGGGCTTACTCCTGCTCTGCACTCAGGAATCACTCCTGGCAGTGCTCTGAAGACCATCTGGGATGCCGGGGATCGAACCCAATGGACTGTGCAGGGCAAGCGTCCTCCTTCCTATACTCCAACCCTCTATTCTTTTATTATCTATAATTGTTTTCTATTCTATTCTTTTTTTTGGGGGGGGGGGTTGACATTCAGAGATGTTCAGGGGTTGCTCCTGGCTCTGCACTCAGGACTTACCCCTGGCAGTGCTCTGGAGACCCTATGAGATGCTGGGAATCGAACTGGGTCAGCCACGTGCAAGGCAAACTCCCTCCCCACTCGACCATCGCTCCAGCCCCTTCTGTTCTATAAAATTATTATCACTCAGTTTCTCCTGTTTTATTACTGAGGTTATTCCTCAACAGTTACGCTGTTGATTGTTCACCTTTTTGGGTTTGACTGTGCTTTTGGGGCTACAGCCTGCAAGTGCTTGGAGTACCACGCAGTGCCTGGGGCCTCCCTTAGGAAACGTCTGCGCAGTCCATGGGCTCTCTCAGCCCTGTCTCAGCAAGTGGAGCCCAGGCTGGCCACTCACAAGTACCTTACCATCAAAAAAATTTAAAAAAAAAAAAAACACCTTTTTTTTTTTTTTTGGTTTTGTTTTGGAGCCTGAGTACCTAGAGATACTTCGGGCTCTGCTCAGGGATCACTCCCGGTGGTGTTTGGGGAAGCATATGGGATGCTGAGGATCAAATCTGGTCACCTGTATGCAAGACAAGCGCCCTAGCCATGTACTATCGCTCTGGCCTCCAGTAGAATTTTGGTTTTGTTTTTGGGCCCACCCAGTGGTGCTCAGGGATTATTTCTGGCTCAGGAATCACTTCTGGTGGGGATCGGGGGCTAAATGGGATGCCAGGGATCGAACCTGGGTTGGCTATGTGCAGGGCAAGTGCCCACCTGCTGTACTAACGCTTTGGCCCCAGTAAAAATATTTTTAAAATATTGAGTCACAAAGGCCTGAGGACTCCAGGGTAGAGATAGGTATTACCTATCTCTTTTGTCTCCTATGTGAGGCCCTGGATTTGATCCCTGGCACCAAAAAAAAAAAAAAGAAGAAGAAGAAGAAAAAAAGGAAAAAGAGTCAAACAACAGTATCTCCATGAGAACCTGGGCTGGGGTGGTGGGGAGGGAGGGACATGGGGGGGTGGGATGGAACTCGGGGCTTCACACATACGAGGCAAATGTTCTACCGCTGAGCCACATCCTGGCACAAAACCACAGCTTTATATATAGCTCCTTTATTTCATGGTTGTTTTGTGTGTGTGTGTGTGTGTTTTTCCTTTTTGGGCTACACCCAGCGAGACCCAGGGGTTTACTCCTGGCTCTGCAGTCAGAGATCACCACTGGCTGTGCACAGGGAACGATACGGGATGTCAGGGATTGAACCCGGGTCAGCCGAGTGCGAGGCAAGAACCTTACATGCTGCGCCATTTTGTTTTGGAGCCACCCGGGTGGAGCTCAGGGGCTGTTCCTGGCTCTGTATTCAGGAGTCACACAGCCGGACTTGGGGCACCATATGTGGTGCTGGGGATTGAACACAGGTCGGCCATGGGTGAGGCAGAAGCTTCCTCTGTCCTCATTTTCCATGCTCTTGGTTCTTTCTATCTGGAGGATCACAGTCTTCCCAGCCCTCTGCTCCAACTTGGCCATTCTTTCCCCCCCCCCCCCCTTTTTTTATTGATTCACTGTGAGATACAATTACAAAGCTTTTATGTTTTAACTTTGGTCATACAGTCATCAAACACCCATCCCTTCACCAGTGCACACTTTCCACCACCAAAATCCCCAGTATTCCCCCCACCACCCACCCCCTTCCAACCCTTCCCCTGCCTGTGTGGTGGCCATTGTTTTTGTTTGTTTGGTTTTGGTCTTCACCGAGCGGTGTGCAGTGCATAGTCCTGCCTCTGCTTTCAGAATTAACTCCTGGAAGTTCATTTGAGTTGCTCAGGAACCCTATGGGATGCCTCAGATCCAACTGAAACTGCATGCAAGAAATAACACCCAGGGACCAGAGTGATAGTACAGCGGGTAGGCGTTTGCCTTGCACACTGCCAACCCGGGTTCCATCCCTGGCATCCCATATGGTCCCCCAAGCACCGCTAGGAGTGATTCCTGAGTGCGGAGCCAGGAGTAACCCCTGAGCATCGCCAGGTGTGACACAAAAAGCCAAAAGAAAAAAGAAAAAAAACACCCAGCCCGCTGTATTGTGCTGTGGCCCCAGTGCTGGTTTTCTTGGATCTCTCTGTACCCGTGCCTCTCTGGCCCGCGGAGAACTATCTTTCAGGGGTCCCGAGAGTGGCGTGAGCTGGGTTTGGAAGCTACAGACGGAGTCTGGGGCCAGCATCCTTCTCTCTGACCAGCCCCTTCTCATCCACGCAGATCCTGGTGGCTTTGAGACACCTCCATTTTAAGAACATTGTCCACTGCGACTTGAAGCCCGAAAACGTGTTGCTGGCATCAGCCGATCCGTTTCCTCAGGTCAGCAGTGCAGATTTCTGGGAGCCCCGTGCACAGGGGTGCAGAGCTGGGAGTGCATTGACCATGGACATTCCTGAGGGGCGGGGCTGCTGAGGAGGTAGCTCAGGGCGCCGGGGCCAGCAGGAGCATCCCAACCCCAGCATCCCTGGCTCCCTGCAGGTGAAGCTGTGCGACTTCGGCTTCGCGCGCATCATCGGCGAGAAGTCGTTCCGTCGCTCCGTGGTAGGCACGCCCGCCTACCTGGCGCCCGAGGTGCTGCTCAACCAGGGCTACAACCGCTCCCTGGACATGTGGTCAGTGGGCGTGATCATGTATGTCAGCCTCAGTGGCACGTTTCCCTTCAATGAAGATGAGGACATCAACGACCAGATCCAGAACGCGGCCTTCATGTACCCTGCCTGTCCCTGGAGCCTCATCTCCGCAGGAGGTGGGCGGGGTCTTAAGGGGTGGGTGGGTGGGGCCTAGTGCATGAAGGGGCGGGGCTGAGACCTCAGGCCCTGGGGGTGGTTCCTAGACGAGGGGCGGGGCCATAGGGGCATCCTGAACCTGGCTCCTTACTTGCCCCAATGTAACGCGAGGTGGGATGGAAAGGAAGTGCCCCCGAGGTGCTAGGGCAGACCCTTGGTTGAGACCTTGGGAAATGTGCGAGGGACACCTGATCAGTCTAGAAGAGAAGCTGGAACCTGAGGATTCCAAAGGTCTGGGATAATGGGGAGAAAGAGAGGGTCCCGGGGAGCACCCCTCATGGTGATTGGGGAAAAATGAGGGGTGCTGAGGATCGAACCCGGGTCTGCTTCATCTATGACGGATGCCCACCTGCTGTACTATCAATCTGGCCCTAATGGAAGTATTTTTAAAGCACTAAAGCATCAAGGACTGAGGATATGGCTCAGGGGTAGAGATAGGTAGTAAGTCCCGAGCACCACAGGATGTGGCCCAAAAACCAAGTGAATTGGGGGCTGGAAAGATAGTACAGCAGGTATGGCACTTGCTTTGCATGCCTCACAGATGGCTAACCGATACTCAATTCCCAGCATCCCTAATGGTCCCCCAAGCACTGCCAGGAATGATCCCTGAGCACAGAGTCAGGAGTAAGCCTAAACACCACCGGCTGTGCTTGCTCCCTCCCCCAAATAGGAAGTGGATAGCAGTACAGATGATAGTTACGTCCTTAACCTATGCATGACAAAATTTATGAAGGTCATAAGTAGAACTTGGTGAAGAGATCTAGAAGTCGTTGTGTGGGCCACGTTTGGGTGATGGGGGGAGACAAATATGTAATTGAAGGAGGAAATGAGTAGATGAGTGTTAGGTGTGGATGAGGCTTTGGAAAAGAGGCAAATCCCAAAGGGAGGCAGGCACTTGGTGATGCTCAGGGATTACTCCTGGTTCTGTGCTCAGGAATTACTCCTGGCTATGCTCAGGGGACCCTATGGGATGCTGAGGATCTAACCCGGTTCGGCTGCGTGCTAGAAGACTAACGCCCTACTCGCTGTACTGTCGCTCCGGCCCGTCCTGCAGTTCTTGAGCTCATGCGCTCTCTCTCTCTCTCTCCTTTGCAGCCATCGACCTCATCAACAACCTCCTACAGGTGAAGATGCGCAAGCGGTACAGTGTGGACAAGTCGCTCAGCCACCCTTGGTTACAGGTGAGGCAGGAGGCAGGGCTGAGCGCAGAGGGGCTGCGCTGGAGGAGTGGGTATAACCAGATTTGCTATTGGTCCAGGTAGTGAAGGATGACCGACAGTCTAGGATGAGCCTCTGATTGGCTGGGCTGGAGAATTGGGGGCTGAACAGTTGTGAGGGATCCTCTTATTGGCCGGGCAATTAAAATGGTGCCTCAGCTCCAGACACTACTGGCCGCCCGCAGTGCGTCCCCCCAGTAAACCCCTGTTTTGCCGGATTCAGGAGTACCAGACGTGGCTGGACCTCCGCGAACTGGAGCGCAAGATGGGCGAGAGGTATATCACGCACGAGAGTGACGACGCGCGCTGGGAGCAGTTCGTAGCCGAGCATCCACTGCCCAGGCCGGGGCTGCTTGCTGATGGAGAGCTCAGTGGGGTCCTCCTGCCTCAGGACCACGAGATGCAGGGGCTGGCTGAGCGCATCAGCGTCCTCTGAGACCCTGTGCGGCCGCCTGGCCTACCCCTTTGCTACCCTCCCAAAGTGGAACTGTTCTGGGGCGGGGCTTCGTGTGCAAACTGTCGGGCCACACCCCTTGGGGCGGAGCCTGAGAAGGGACCTTGGACAAAGTCCATTCCCCCACCATTAAAATAGGCTCTTTCCTGGCCCAGCTGCCTGTGGTATGGTGTGCGGAGACTAGTTAAGTGGCTGTTGGGGTGGAGGGGACTGTGAGGGCCAGGGGATTCTGGAGAGGGATTCTGGAGGACTCAGTGCAGGAGAGAATGGAAGGAAGAAGACCAAGGAGGGGAGGCGATGTGGTAAGCATTGGGAGAGGAAGATCAACGGACCAAGAGTTGGAAATGGAAGAGTTGATGGAGAGGTTGAGGGTTTAGAGAAAAACAATGGTTTGATTTTTTTTTAATTTGATGTGTTACTCTTGATCACAAATATTAATAATAATGCCATTAGTGCAGGTCTGGACCACACAGCAGAAAGCTTATACACATTCCATATTTTCGTATTTTATTTCAGGGCCAGATATCAGGCCAGAGGGATTGATGCTCGACTAGAGGTGTTGGGACCATCTGGGCCACCCCTACCCCTCAAGGGGCTTATGTGGCTTCCTGGGATACTCCTGGTATCCTGCTCACAGACCCAAGCAGGATCAGAGTTTGAACTGGGATCCTGGTGCATTAGCGTCCAGGCTTCTTTGCTGATCCATGTCACCGGCCAGTGTTTTCTTAGAAAATAATTACTTTACACACCAAGTACACTCTTTCACTCCCTGACTTTTTTGTTTTGTTTTGGGGCCACACCTGGCGGAGCTCAGGGATAACTCCTGACTCTGCACTAAGAAATTGTTCCTAGAGGTGCTTGGGGGACCCTATGGGATGCAGGGAATTGAACCTAGGTCGGCACATGCAAGGCAAGTGTCCTCACTGTGCTATCACTCCAGCCCCTCTCGCTCCCTGTCTCATCCATTGGTCATACCTCTACCGAGTCTGGAAACACAGAAGAGACCCCAATTCCCCTTTCAGGGGGTTTATCATCCTGTGGAGAGAAAAGCCTGACCCTAGACAGTAAGGCTCTGGATCAGGTCTTCTGAATATATTTAAGCTTTATCTTGCTCCTGAGGTTGCAGATCCAGGGGGCGTCTCTTTGCCATTGACCCATGCCCCCAGCTCCCTGTCCTTACCCCGATTTTCTGACCAGAGACTTTTTCTCTAAATAGCCCTCCTGCAGCCAAATAGACCACGCAAAGGCCGATTCAACTTATGTCAATTGTGCCCTCTGCTGGCTGATTCGGGTACTGCAGGTCTTTGGAAAGATGAGAAATCCCTGTTACCTCTTAAGACATCAGTCGAGCTCCCTCTATTAGAGGATCTGAGATTCAGGAGAACGGACAGCAGACATGAATCCCAACTCTACCAACCAACCCAAGCTGGGAAATGTCCAGAAAGACTACTTAGACCTGGGCTGGGGATCTAGTGTAGAGGTTAAAGTGCTTGCCTTGGGCTGGAGCGATAGCACAGCAGGTAGGGCGTTTGCCTTGCATGCAGCCAACATGGCCGACCCTGGTTCGATTCCCAGCATCCCATATGGTCCCCCGAGCACCGCCAGGAGTAATTCCTGAGTGCATGAGCCAGGAGTAATCCCTGAGCATCGCCGGGTGTGACCCAAAAAGCAAAAATAAATAAAGTGCTTGCCTTGTGCCTCGTGGTCCCTCTGAGCACTGCCAGGTGTGGCGCCTCCCCTCAGATACTCAGATCTGATCTTGGACAATCACTTCATCTTGGACATTAGTTTCCTTAACATTCTGAAATCAGGGAATGTTCTAAAGTACCCTTTGCATGGAACAGTGCCCCGATGGCAAATCCCATGAGCAGGTGTGAGAATGCCTCAGCAGAATCAACAGCCACGCAGAGAAATGCAATGACCAATGACTAAAGTGAAGACAGAAAGGAAATCCACGGGTGACAGTCTCAGCGGGCATGGCACTTGCCTTGCATGCAGCTAGCCTGGGTTCGATTCCCAGCATCTCATCTGATATGATCTCCTGAGCTCAGAGCCAGAAGAAACTCCTGAGCATTGTCAAGTGTGGCCCAAAAGTGGATGAGAGGGGGAGGAGGGCAGAGCAATTGTACAGCGGTAGGACTTTTGCCTAACATGTGGCCAACCAGGATTTGATCCCCGACATTCCATATAGTCCTCTGAGCACTGGCAGGAGTAACTCCTGAGCATTGCTGGTGTGCTCCCCCCCCAAAAAAAAAAGAAAAAGAAGGAAGCAAGAAATCCTCTAGAGATGTAACTCAGTCGTAGAGCACATGCCTGGCATCTGTGAGTCCCAGGTTTGATGCCCTGTACCAACTACAGCGATAAAATGGTTACTGAACCCAGGTGGATAACTCAGGGGGCTGACCACCTGCTTTGCATCAAGAGTCTTGAATTTCACACCCTTATCCATCCTGGCCTGAGCACCATTGGGCATGGCTCAAAAATGACTACAACAGGGGCTGGAGTGATAGCACAGTGGGTAGGGCATTTGCCTTGTACACAGCCGACCCGGTTTCCGTCCCCAGCATCCCATATGGTCCCCCGAGCACCACCAGGAGTAATTGCTGAGTGCAGAGCCAGGAGTAACCCCTGTGCATCGCCGGGTGTGACCCCACCCCCCAAAAAAGAAAAAAAATTACAACAAGATAAATCTATATAAAGGAACTCAAGCATCCAACTTAGTTTCCCCAATGACTCACTTCCTGCTGACTGTCTCCTCTGTGTCCATAAATACCCGTAACGGCAGGGGGAAATGACCCAGTCCCCTTAATGGCCATACCACCCCTTTCACTTTGATAGTCCCCAGGCCTCCCCCAGCCCCATAAATAACTCACAGTTTCCCCCGCCTTTCCCTCGCCATATCAAAGAATGCAGTGAGACCCTGGTATCCACCACGTGGTTTGTGTCTGTGTGGGCCACTTTCCTTGGGTCCCTTAGAATTCAGCCTGTTTTTCTTCATTCCCAGTACTCTGCTACATTTTCAGGAAAGATTTTTCTAGCAGCCTGGAACATTTCATGTTATGTGAGACCAATTCTTTCAGAGTAACTAAGTCCATTAACTTCATCTTCCCACCTCAGCCCCACAAAAAAAAAAAAAAACAGGAAAGAAGCCAGCAACTTCTTCCCAGACCCACGGAGTCAAAGAGGCGGCTGTGAAGTCTTGGTTCTTCTTGGCCTCACACAGGGCGCATAGACGGAAGAGGTGGACGCACTTTCTGTGTGTCCTAGGGATCACGGTTAGATCCTTGGCCGTGTGACCCGCAGGCACCACCAGGGGGCAGGCCTGAGCCACTTCCAGCAGAAAGAGGTTCTTTGCTCGCCCTGGAATCGCCTGAGATCCCTGAAGCCAAAAGCCTTCCAAGGCTCCACCCAGTCATTCAGCACCCCTGATACCCACCCCCGTGCCCCACTCCATCCCCTCCCTCAAAAGTCCAGCGCTAATTTGGTTTTGTTTGGGTGCCACACCCAGCAGTGCTCAGGGATCACTCCTGGTGGTGCTCGGGAGACCATCTGGAATGCCAAGGGAACAGACCCAGGTCATCCTCGTGCAAGGTGCCCTACCCACTGTACCATGACTCCAGCCCCGTGGCCCATGTTAAATCCAGAGGCCCCAGAGATATCCAAGTGCTGGGCAGAGGCTTGGTGTGTTGGAGGCCTGGGTTTCAGTCCCACATTGTATGGTCTGGAACGACCTCAGAGCACAGAGCCAGGAGTAGCTCCCCCCCCTCCCCGGCCCTTTTTTTTTTTAAAAGATGATGATATCCAGCTTCCCAACTGTCAGCAACTTTAAGTAAGTAAAGTAAAGGCCCTCCCGTTGATCATCGATTTGCTCGAGCGGGCCCAGTAACGTCTCCATTGGAGACTTTGTTGTTACTGTGTCTGGCATATCGAATACTCTCGGTAGCTTGCCGGGCTCTCTGAGAGGGGCGGAGGAATCGAACTCGGGTTGGCCATGTTGGCTGCGTGCAAGGCAGACGCCCTACCCGCTGTGCTATCGCTCTCAGCAACTTTATGCCTCAAGAAATGGGAAACCCAGACCAGAACAATAGCACAGCAGGGAAGTGCTTGCCTTTGCATCAGCTGACCTGGGTTTCATCCCAGGCATCCCAAATAGTTCCCTAAGCACAAGGCACAGAGCCGAAAGTAACCCCTGAGTGCCTCCAGTGTTTCCCCTTCCTCTCCCAAAAAAGTGTCAAACCAGTGAAACAAAGCAAGGAGCAGACATGTGCCTGGCAAGCAGCTGCTCCCAGTTCAATCCTCAGACCCACATATGATCCCCCAATCCCACAGGCACCCCTAAACACAGAGCAGAAGATAGTCCTGAGTGCCACTGGGTGTGGCTCAAGAATAAAATCAAAGGTGCTGATCAACAAACCCCAGACACATGCAAGCAGCCAGACTCCCCCAAACTAAAGGAAATCCCGTGCTGACCAGTCCACAGATCATGTCCTTGCGCATACCTCAAGTTCCTTCCCCACTTGCTCCAATGAGTCCAAAAACTCACCTAAGGCCCCACCTGGCAAGGCCCGTCAGAAGTCAGAAAAACACAACTGCTTCATAAACTGAAGTCCAGCAGGCAGTCATGGAATACCTTCCTGGTGGTTCACTTCAAATCCTGTCTCTCCCAATATTCCTCTCCTGGCTGGAGAAATGACTTAAAGGGCCAAAACACAGGCTTTGCATGTGGGAAGCTGGGGTAGATCTCCAGCTGCATGCAAGGCAAACACCCTACTATTGTACTATCTCTTCAGCCCAATGAGGAGATGTCTTCTCCGATATATGTGTTTAGTCTTTGGACCATACCTGGAGGCATTCAGGAGCTACTCTTGGATCTGTGCTCATGGGTCACCACTGGCAGGATTTGGGGGACGATATGCAGTACTGGGGACCGAACCAGGTTCTTCTGTGTGCCTTACCTACTGGACTGTCTCTCCAGCCCCTGATCTTAAGTGTCTTTACTCACAAGTAACTCCTTTGTGTCTCCAGTTTGCAAACAAGTTACTTTGTGCACAGGGGATGATCAGAAAAGGAAGAGGTACTGGATGATTTTATGAGCCCTGACTTTTAGGAAGCCAACGTATGTTTGAGAACTGGGTACAAGTCTTGGAGCTAGAGAGGTT